CCACTCCCTGATGTTCCGCTTGTTTCGACTCCAGTTGTGGAAACGTCGCAGGAGGCCATTGAAGACTCGGCACCTGTTGAGAACACATCATCAGTGTCTTCTCCCCGTCCGTCGCTACCTTCTCTTCCCAAGCTCTCTACCGAGATCCCGCCTGCGCATGACTACAGCCCTACCGAGGCATCCGCCGCCCAAGATGGCGAGTTCCATTCTTTCAGGGCCGAGAGCATGACTGCCTCGAGTTCCGCATCAGCTACTACTTATATCAGCCGGACATCGGAGTCAAGCATGATCTCACAGACATCCACTCGGGCCACAACACCGGATCTCACCCATGCTCCCGGAAATCACCATCCTTCGGCATCTAACGTGAGCCTGTCCGACAGTACGACACTTAGTGAAGATAGCGACGATGCCGAGTTTAAGCTACTCGAGAAGACGTATGCTCATGAGCTGATTTTCAACAAGGAAGGCCAAGTGGCTGGAGGTTCCCTTCCGGCGCTGGTTGAGCGTCTCACTACTCATGAGTCGACTCCTGATGCCATGTTTGTGTCCACATTCTACCTCACCTTTCGTTTGTTCTGCACGCCGCTCAAGTTTGCTGAGGCCCTGATTGACCGCTTCAACTATGTCGGAGAGGCTCCGCATGTCGCTGCCCCTGTTAAGCTTAGGACGTACAATGTTTTCAAGAGCTGGATGGAGTCGCATTGGCAGGAAGAAACTGACGCGGAAGCATTACCCGTGATTAAGAGCTTTGCCGAGTCCAAACTCGCAGAGCTTTTGCCTTCTGCTGGAAAGAGATTGCTTGACCTCGCCGAGAAGGTGGCTAACAGCGGCAGTACTCTTGTACCCCGTTTGGCTGCCTCCATCTCCAAGACCGGCACCTCTGGCTCTCAGTTCATTTCTGCCGAGACGCCTCTCCCTTCGCCCAATCTCTCAAGGGGTCAAGTGCACGCACTCACCAACTGGAAGGCTGGTGGTGTCTCCCCATCCATCATGGATTTTGACCCGCTTGAGATCGCTCGCCAAATTACCATCAAGCAGATCGGTCTCTTCTGCTCTATCACTCCTAAGGAGCTTCTCGGCTCCAAGTGGACCAAGAACAAGGGAGTTGGCGCACCCAATGTCAAGGCCATGTCGACTTTCACCACCGGATTGTCCAACCTCGTGGTTGACACTATCCTCCAATTCGATGAGATTAAGAAGCGAGCCACCATCATCAAGCACTGGATCAAGATCGGCAGCCAGTTTCTTGCCCTGAACAACTACGACGGTCTGATGGCCGTCACGTGCGCCCTGAACGACTCCAGCATCAAGCGCCTGCGGATGACGTGGGACACCATCAGCTCGAGGCGCAAGGAGACGCTCAAGTCTCTGCAGGCCATTGTCGAGATCGGTCAAAACCACAAGGCCCTCCGTGCTCGGCTCGCCGACCAGGTCCCTCCTTGCCTTCCATACGTCGGCATGTTCCTGACCGATCTCACTTTCATTGATGCGGGCAACCCCGCCAAAAAGACGACGGATGCGGGCCTGACGGTGGTCAACTTCGACAAGCACATGAAGACGGCCAAGTGCATCGGCGAGCTGCAGCGATTCCAGATGCCCTACCGCCTCACTGAAGTTCCGGACTTCCAGGAATGGATCCTCTCACAGATTGAGAGGGCGCGCGAGATTGAAAAGACCGGAAGGACGCCTGCTCAGGTGTTGCACTATCGTCAGAGTCTGCTGCTGGAGCCGAAGGAGCAATTGCAGTCTCCGGTGGAGGGCCCATCCTCGGGTTCCAACATGTTCTCGTGGATCAGGCACAACCATTCTACTCATGGCTTGCCTACCTCTGCTCAAGTCTAGTGCACTTTATATGAACAATGTTCATCATCGGCGTCGGACGCCAGTGATACACAGCCACACCTGTGCTGTATACCAGTTTCGTGAGGTGGTGTCATTATCTTGGGCGACCACCCCGAATTTTGTTATCTTTTTTTCTTGATACCCATCTGTTTCTTTTATTTGTTTATGGCGTTATGGCATGTGAGTCGTACCTGCGCAATGTTGACCATCCTGTCCTTATCGAGGTTAGGGAGCACAGCTACACATCAGCACGAGCCCACCATGGCTCATTATCTTCATTGTCGCTTTATAGTAGCTTCGCCTGAACATGGGCTCTCGATGCTGCTTTTCACTTTGTTATTCATCTTGGTTGCTTTCAGGATCATTGGCGCCTTACTGGGGTTGAATTGGATTGGTCTTTTGCTCACTTTCTTTTTTGGTTTGAAGTGGAAAAAGAGACAAGGCATTACGGATCAACAGGACAAAAGGAGTTTGGGTGGTTTTCATATCCATTATATCGCGTTGGCTGGGGATAAACGCTCTGCTCAGTCCAAGCGGCTAGCTGGGATGCATTAGGTGTCGATGACACAAGGAAGCATGGAGACAGGAAAGGGATTTCCACACTGTACGGAGTTGGGAAGTCATGATGTTATGAGAAGCAGCCCTTTGGGCCAAGTAATGGAGAGAGGCAATACCCTGTTGAGGAGTATAAACATGTCAAGATAGTGCTAGCAGCCTGTGAGACCGATGAGCGTGTAGCAGAGCAAGTAAAGACACCATTACCACCTATCTGTATGTGTCAATGAGTTTGATCGTGGTGATTTGTGTTGAACTGAAGCTGGTAGGTGAATAGACCAGGGGTGATTTGAAGCACAACGATGGAGGTGTCAAGTTGCTCATATCGCAAAGTTGAAATCGAGTTTGGACCTCCGGACCAACATCTACCCATCAAGTATGTCATACCAACGAGATCTCTGATTAGTATTTCCAAAACAGGCATCGCTAATAACAGGATTACATGACCACCAAGCAAGCAAATGATACCCAATAAAGCTACAAATAGCAACAACCCCACAGTCGCCCATCCTTCCCATGCTCACCTCAACCTCGATGGCCTCGACCGTCTTCGATACTCCTCGACATCGCCCCACTCCAACCCACCCCCTTCCCTCCTTGTATCCACCACCTTCTTCTTCCTCGGCCAGTCTGGGCAGATATCGATGCTTTCCCTTGGAAAGACCAGTTCCAAAAACAAGAAGATCAAGTAATCGATAATCACACAGACGCAAAATAGTTTGCCCGCCCAGACTCCACAGCCATAGTACCTCTTGAGCCGATCAATCAGGGCAAAACTCTGCACCCCGCTCCTCATCCCCCTGGTGGCCGTGACCGCCGTCCACGACCCATTACTTCCGTTCCGGTGGTCTTTTAGGTGATCATACCCGTAGAACTCTGCTTCGCTAATGGCGCCCGATATCCCATTATACACCCTCTCAGTGCGTTCCGCTACGTTGGTCCAGCTGTACATGTTTTTGACCTGTTCATGAAACAGCTCGGTGCGCACTTCGTTCCGCCTTAGTGCTGCGATGGCTTTCCCCGTGGCGGCGACCAGGTCGTCTTCTTCGGGTTTGGCAAATACCGTCATGTGCCCTGGTAAGACTTCGGGGATGCCGCCGACTTGGGTGCAGACGACGTAGAGGCCGCACGAGGCGGCTTCGACGATGACGGTGCCGAAGGCTTCGGTTAGCGAGGGGTGGAGGTAGATGTGTCCGCGCACCATGACGTCGCGGACTTCGGAGTGGCGGATGGGACCGAGCATCTCGACGCGGTCTTGGAGTACGTTTTGCTCAATCATTTGTTCGAGGTCGATGGACTTGGGACCGGAGCCGGCGATGATGAAGCGCGTGTTGGGGTGGGCGGCGAGGATGCGGGGGATGGCGGCTGTAAGGAGGTCGGTGCCTTTGTTGTAGAAGAGGCGGGAGATGACGACGATGGTGATGGGGTCGTGAGGACCCAAGATGCGACGCGGGGGGGTTAGGGAGGAGGTAAGAGAGGAGGATGGGTTGGGGGGCAGGCCGGGGATGGGGGAGGAGATGGAGGAGGGAGGGGTGGTTGTGGTGGTTGGGTAGCCTAGTGGACGGAAGTTGTCGGCGACGACGGCGTTGGGGATTACTGAGACCATGAGAGGGTCGAGGGAGGCGCGGAGGACCGTGTTTTCTTTGCTGTGTCACCTTGTTAGTAGGAGTTTGAAGAGAAGAAGAGGGGGGATGAGAGGGGGCATACCAAGTATGAGAAACACAGATGACATGGTCCACGTCGCTCAAAGCAAACTTGAGCAGCTTGTTGGTAAGAATACTCGCCGCATCCGCAAACCCAAACAGACTGTGATCCGTAAACACGGTCCTTAGTCCCATCGTCCTGGCGTGCAAAATGGCTTCATGACATAGACTCGACAGAGAAGCATGACCATGCACGATATCGATCCGTTCCCTCAATACAATATTCCGGAAAACGGGGAAGAACGAGAACACAGTCGGGAAGGTGGCGCTCCGGTAGATGACGAGAAACGGTACATGATAAACTTTCAAGCCGTTAGTGAGATACCGAACCCCCGTTCGACCTTCGTAGGCGTGCGTGATGATGATGACTTTGTGGCCGCGGTCGATGAGCTTGGTGGAGAGTTGGTAAATGTGCGATTCGATGCCGCCGGGTTGGGGGAAGAAGAAGTCGCAGACCATGGCAATGCGGTAGGTGGGCGCCATGATGGGTGATGTATGGGTCACATTGGTGCCCGCCTTGTTATCTTGGTGATGATATTAGACGTGACTTTGTTGTGGTGTTGATGGTGGTGATGGTGGTGGATGGTTCATGTTGAGATAAGAGTATGTGTTAGTGAGTGAGGCGAGTTGCCCCTGCAAATGAGAGGGAGTGAACAGTCAAGTGTAAACAGACGAACATCGACAACTGAAGACGTCCCCATGTCTTGGCAGCCGTGGACCGCCAAGGTGCGCATTCCAGGGGTAAGTGATGTTGGAGGATCCACTGATAGCGATAAGCAGGGGCCTAGACGGGCGGTAAGACTTGGCAATTCTGGTGATCCCCAGAAAAAAGTTGGGATCCACTTTTCGTATGGAGCTCCGTCATTCGTTGTTTTGTTTTCTTTTCGAGCTTCGGAGTTTCGATTTGGTTTCCATTTTCAAATTGACATCAACCGACAAAGTATGTACTATGCTTCTTGCTGTTCCACAAAGTCAATTGACCGCCGACTATAACTAACAGTAGTCACAGTCACAATGTACAACAGATACATCCCCCCACCCAAGTCAGCAGGCGGCGCGGCAGCCCCCGTGTCGTCGCAACCAGTGTCGCAAGCACCAGCGCAACCAGCACGAATTGTCTTTGGCGACGATGACTTTGTCGCAAACAAACAATCAAAAACTGTCGTTGAGGCACCAGTACAACAAGTAGAGGAACCCAAGTCCAAGTCGAAAAAGTCAAAGAAGCAACGCGACACCGACGACGCCGAAGAGCCCCCACGAAAGAAGACCAAGACCGACGACAATGACGACGAGCAGCAACAACAGAAAGACGAGGCGCAACCCGAGGCGACGAGAACAGATACATCATCCATGAAGAAAGAACCCAAGAAGCCAAAGAGAGAAAAGAAAAAGAAAGAAAGCGTCCTCGAAAAACCCGCCGACATCGAAGATGACCACATCCGCCAACGCCATCGCTCCGTCTTTGAAAAGGTCGAAAAGGCTCTCAAATTGAAGGAACTACAGGGCGACGAAAAGGAAGACACGCCAGAGCCAGAAGAACCCGTATACGACCTCGGTCCCCTCCCCCAACCTGCCCCCGTCGTCGTCGATTCCTCCAAACTCACCTACGAGACCCTGCCCCCTTGGCTCGCCAACCCCATCCGCGTCACCACCGAAACCAGGAAACAGTTTACAGAGCTAGGCATCTCCGCCGAGGCAGCCAAGATTCTGGCTACAAAGGGATTCCGAGACGCCTTTGCCGTGCAGACGGCTGTCCTTCCTTTGCTGTTGCCTAACCCCGACCTCCAAGGCGACGTGGTGGTGGCTGCTCCTACGGGCTCGGGAAAGACGCTGGCGTATGTGTTGCCAATGGTGCAGGATATTGCACTGAGCCAGACGACCAAACTCAGGGGGGTGATAGTGCTGCCGACGAGAGATTTAGTGCAGCAAGTCCAGCAGGCGTGTGAGGCTTGCGCGGCAGCGTTTGCGGGGAGTAGTGGCGGGAAGAGGGTGAAGGTTGGGACAGCGATGGGAAACCGGCCGTTCAAGGAGGAGCAGGGGGTTATCATGGGAACGGAACAAAAGTACGATCCCAAGGGTTACCAGAAGTGGTTGGAGAGGCAGAAGCAGTTGGTGGATCTGGATGGGGACAGCGAGCAGGAGGATGAGGATCTTGACCTGCAGCTGAAGCGGCCGTTGCCTTATCATGTCATTCAGCATGTGCCCAAGGTTGATATCCTCATCTGCACGCCGGGTCGTCTGGTGGAGCACATCACCAAGACCAAGGGCTTCACGCTCGATTATGTCCGGTGGTTGGTGGTCGACGAAGCTGACAAGCTTCTTGCGCAAGACTTCCAGCAGTGGTTGGATGTGGTGAACGAGAAGTTGGCTGTCAGCAAGCCTGGCGCGAGGGATTTTGCTGCGAACAACAAGACGGGACCGAGGAAGGTGATTCTGTCAGCGACTATGACAAGGGATATCACGCTGTTAAACGGGCTCAAGCTTTCAAGGCCAAAACTGGTGGTGTTGGAGGGTGCAAAGGCTGGTGACTTGGCGATCCCTGCCACGCTCAAGGAATACGCCATCAAGATCACCGAGCCAAGTCTTAAGCCGTTGTATCTGGTGGATTTGCTACAGAGCAAGTACCTGGTTCCCATCAACGGCGAGGACGTCGCTGCTGGATCGGAATCATCCAGCTCCTCCTCCGATTCATCCTCAGACTCCTCCTCAGACTCCGACTCCGACTCCGACAGCGAAGCCGAGCCCACAACAAGAAAGGCCAAGTCCGTGTCCAAGCCCACCACATCAAAGGCAAAGGCAGCAGCCTTCCCCACCACCGCCCTCATCTTCACAGCCTCCAACCAATCCGCCCTCCGCCTCTCGCGCCTGCTCTCCCTCCTCCTCCCCCCTTCCTTCGCCCCTCTAATCGGCACCCTCACCTCCTCCACCAAGACTTCGGTCCGCTTGCGCACCCTATGTGCCTTCACTTCCGGCAAGCTCCGTATCTTGGTCGCCTCCGACTTGGTATCCCGTGGTATCGACTTGTCGAACCTCGACCATGTCATCAACTACGACCTGCCCCTTTCCGAGACGTCGTACGTGCACAGGGTGGGCCGCACAGCGCGTGCAGGCAGGGAAGGCAAAGCGTGGACGCTAGTGGAGTTTGCGGAAGCGAGGAGGTTCTGGAGGGAGTTTGTTGGTGAGGGACAGGGGGCGGTGTGTAATGTGAAGAGAGCGGAGGGGAGGACGGTGGAGAGGGTGAGGGTTACTGAGGGGATGGATGAAGAGGGGGAGAAGAAGAAGAATGGTGGGTTTGGTGAGGAGAGAGTGAAGGAGTTGGAGAAGGCGCTGGAGGTGTTGAGGGTTGAGGCTACTAAGAGGGGGTGAGTGTGGTTTGTTGGTGTTCGTCTGATATCCAGGGAAGTTTATATAGGGTAGTGGTAGGGTTGTGTATAATGTACGTGCCACTGAAGATTCTTTAACTAGCTGTTCAAAGGTTTAGTTACTGTGACGGAAAAAAACACTGCATTTTTGTATGAACACATCATTCCATTCTGTCAAACACACCAAGATACCCATTGCCCAGCACTTGCATCTAATCCCGTGTCCCGAGTCCCGATACGCTCCTCCATCGCAAGCATTCACAACCGCCTTTGTTCTTCTCAATTCCCTTCTGCCCATGGATCAGCAACATGAATGCCACTTGGCTGCACCCTCGAAGTAGCACTTCCATATCCGTTCCCGCCCCTTCTCTCACTACCCGACCTACTCTCCTCATCACTCCCTCCCCTCTCCACATCCCTTCCCTCTCCATCTTCATCATCATCAACCTCCTCAATACCAACATGGCCCTCTCCATTCTGTCCCGCACCAAGCAACGGCCGTCTCTGTGCTCCTCCATCTTCCAATCCCCGGTAGCCATCTTCCTCATCCCCATGTGGCACCCCAAAGCTCTGTAGAAGTTTATTCCACCAGTTGTTATTTCCATCCCCTCCCTGTCCACCATGTCCCTCACCATTAACCATCCCACTCCCATCCCTTCCTCTTCCACCCGCCGTAGCCCTCCCATCCTGTCCTCCTCTCCTCCTCGTTGCCCCCGTCCTCGCTCTTCTCGTCGCCATCCACCTCCCCACTCCCCACCCCAAAATCTGCACCACCAATACCCCGGCCACGACTCCAATCTCCCCACCCATCACCCCCCTAAACTCCCCTTCCCACTTCCCGGCACACCCCTCCCTTCTCTCAGGCCACATCTGTCCACATTGCTCCGTACCCTTTCCTGCGCTCGGAAAAGGCCAACTCATGTGCTTCGGACTTCGGAACCCACAGCATCCCAGAATATCTTGGATCTTGCGAATGGTGTCGGCGTCGTGCGCCCGGAAGAAATGCGACCAGGTTTGTTCGAGAGCGCAGTGTTCGATTGACCCCGGGCCGGAGTTGGGGAAGGAGGAAAAGGGGGAGGAAGTCAGGGAGCTGGTGGCTACACTCAAAAGGATGAGAGAGAGGACGAGTTGGGTTGTTTGCAGGGTTTGGGAGAGGGTGGGGAGGAGGGATCGGAGGGGTCCTGGGCTAGTAGAAGATTGTTGAGGTCGGCGCGGGGCGTGAGCTGGGCGGAGGTGGGTGAGTTGTTGAGAGGGGTTGGAGGGGTTGGGGGTTATGGTTGAGGAGGAGTGGGCGGCTATGCACTTTGGCGGATTTTGTGGGTTGGGACTGGTGGTGGTGGTGGTGACGCGGTAGAGGTAGGCAGTGTTGAGAGCGGAGAGGATGGGGAGGAGGATGGTCAAGATGGTTAGACCTGGGGAGATGGGGAGGGAGAGGGATTGGGCGTGGATGTGTTCGTAGATAGCGAAGGCGAGGAGGGTGAGGATGATCTGTTGAGGGGTGTCAGACAATCTTGTCGGCAACAACGTCAATTGTATGAAGGCTGAATGTGGTGGCATACCAAGGTGTAGATCAAGCCTAGGGTAATCATGGTTACGGCTGTGTGTGCCCCAAGGCACGACTGTTTTGATACAATTCAATGTTGAAGTGCAAGACTGCGTGTGGTTGAGATGGATGGATGATGAGGTCAAGTTGAAAGAGGAAGAGTGACGGATGTAATGTGCAGTTGGAGTTGCCTGATGAGCACGGCCCGACGCGCCGCTTTATATGTAACGAGTAACGTCCGCTTGTGTGACGTTGACGCGCGGGCGGTTGCAGGCGGCCATGCAACGAGGCCTACAGACCCCTCACTGGCTGTTTGTTGGATGATGCCAGGCAGGTAGTGAAGCAACTGAAATGTGCAGAAATCAAATGGAAATCGACGAATGACTTGTTTTCAAGTGAAAATAATAATTCTGACTTGTCCGGTTTGTCTTTGATAAGTTGTAAAACTAAACTCAATGCGCTGATCATCGAGGTTTCATCCGGCCTAGAAAATGCAATCCCTCAGCTCCTTGCCATGAAATGCAATGCAAATAATACTATACACACCCCCAAATCATACACATGTTGCTCTCTCACCTCAAAGGCATTACCACACCCCATAACATCATACGGCTAAAGCACTGCAACCCTTCGATCCACCAAGACGCCCTTTCCCATAACCCAGGTTCTTTTGTTCGCCCCAACGCGCTCGCTGTCGCTCTTTCACACTAATCTCATGTCCTCGCATGTCCCCGTGTTCCGCAAAGACAACATAACAATCCCACCGTGACCCTCCTAAGCCTCCTCCTCGCCGTAATGGCCGACCGGCATGCTAAGATCGATCTGTAGCTCATCACGGAAGAGTTGGTTGATGGTCGAGTTGTCGCGCAGATACACCCACTCGCCCTTGGCCGTGCCCTCCTTTTCGTTCTGGCCGTCACCTAACGCCACATAGTCGTAGCGCTTGGGACCGGATTTGGGCGAAGACAGCCAGATCTGCTTGTTGGGCGGTTGCTTGTTGATGACGTAGGTGCCGATGCCGTCGTCGAACGAGACGGTGAGGACGCCAGCCTGCAGAGCGTCAGAATCTCTGACAACTATGCGAACGAGAGAATGACATACCGAGTACTCAACGTCAATGTCTTCCCGCTCGTCCTGAAGTTCTTCGAGGTGGGTGACTAGTCTGTCCATGTACTGATCGGCGAGCTTGTGGTACTCGTCGTCCGTCAACTCGGTGGCGGCGCGGACAACAGTGGGAGCGGCCTCTTCCTTGGGCTGGACGGGCTGTTTGTCGGGAGTGATCATGTTGCCATTGGGGCCGGCGGTTGAGTAGAAACGAGGGACTGTCGCTCTTGGGAGCAGTGAAGCCGCGGCGAACGGGGTGGAAGTGATGCGGGTGTTGCGGGAGATTCCTTGGAGAGAGCGCAAAGAAGCTCGCGCAACCTTGAAGACGCCTGTACGCGACATGATGACAGCCCGTGGTACTGATGTTGTTCGATAGCGTTCAAGAAGTTGTAGAGTTGCGACTGGCGCAATTCGTTGAGTGAAGTGTTGGAAGAGACAGAGAGAGGTTTCAAGCTGAACTGAATAAAAGCTCAACGGTGTGTCCCGTGGAAGGTGAGATGAACGAGTGGGTCACGGGACAAGAACACTGCACAATGGAAGTAAGGACGGAAGAATGGAGATCAGAGGGCTGGAATGACAGGATGAATCGAGGAGAACCTTGAAGGAAACTGAATTGGAAGATTGGAGTTTCACTTGTCCAGTTTGCAACTTCCCTCGAATGAGTGAATCGAACCATTAAAGTTCCTTATCGTCCCGAGCTTCCACTTGACTCCCGCTATCGTGCCACTGATGCCCCACTCCCAGAGCTTCCCCAGCTTCCACTGTAACAGTTAAAGACGGAACTGAAAGCAGAGCGCTGGCGGGCACAAGTCGCGTCTTAGCAGCGGCGGGAAGCTCTAGCTGAGCGTCAGTTAGTGCGACGATGCAAAAAGACAAGCAGTCATGCCTAGATCTCTGCATTGATGAAGGTACCCTCTTAACGCTTGCTCTCTGCCGTTTGCTGCCGTCTGCTAGGCGCGTGCCTCTGCGCATTTAGCGGGTACAGCCGCACGTCATCGCACCCCCACCACACTTGATCGGCCGAGTCCAGCCCGATTTATATCCACTTTTGCCTCCCGCAACTGCAGCCAAAGAGCCACTGCGCTGGGCTCTGTGCGACTGCCGCCGCCAAGTGCAACTGAAGTGTCCAGCGAGGTTCTCATTTGTTTTCTTCTCTTCAGTTTCAACCAAGTCACCCTCTGTTCTTGAAGCGCGTTGGCCGTTGCCGTCTTTTTCCCACACCGTCCACTTCCAGGTTCCCAAACTGTCACACGGCGCCCACCATGATCAACGCATTCCTCGTCTTCAACGGCCAAGGCCAACCACGCCTCACCAAATTCTACACCCAACTTGTATGTTCCCCTCCTACTTCCATCGCCTACCCTTCTCGATTACAGTCACTAACACCCTCTCCCCATTCACAGGACACATCAATCCAACAACGACTCATCTCCGAAATCTTCACCCTCGTTGCCAACCGTCCAAAGGGCTCCTGCAACTTCCTCCCCCTTCCACCCCTCCTCGCCGCCTCCAGTACCTCCACCTCCTCGTCCGAACCACACAACGACGTCCCCTCCCTCGTAACCTACCGCAACTATGCCACCCTCTATTTCATCATCATCTCAACCTCGACCGAGTCGCCACTGGCTCTTATCGATCTGATTCAAGTATACGTCGAATCTCTGGACAGGTTGTTTGAGAATGTGTGCGAGTTGGATCTGATCTTCAACTTTGAGACGCTACATGCGACGCTGGGCGAGATGATTGTGGGAGGAGTGGTGATTGAGACAAATATGGAGAAGATTGTGCAGGGCGTGAGGGCGCAGGGGACGGTGGCCAAGAGGCCGGTTAACGAGAGTAGGGGAGGCGGCATGGGGCTAGGAAGTGGACTGGGGGCTGGGTTGGGAATGGGAGGGAATTTCGTCTGGAGTGGACGATGAGGTTCTTGGAGCGAGCATGGTCTTTACATCAATGCGCTCCGGTGTTTGGGGTCTCTAGGAGGTGGCTTTGTTCGTGAAGAGACTGGAAGCTGTCAGACGGGATTAGAGCTCGTACAGCTCTCGAGTAACCGGCATTCAAAAAAGGCGACAAAATGCCACATAAGCTTGACACCAGCAAGGAGCAGAAACCATAGATACCCACACCTCCCCAAGGTATTACAACGCCAAACACCCACAAAAGGATACTATACAAAGCATGATACAATCGGCTTGGTCCTGTCAATCCCAAGCCTCAGACCTGTCTGTCGAACACTACATCTGCCGAGGACGGGACCCGCCTTGGACGCTAGCCTGCGACTCCTGGGACTGGATCCTCGCGACGGGCTTGGGAGCTTCATACTCGAAGCCAAGGGAGTTCCAGAACCACTGTCGGAACTGAGCATGGAAGTTAGGCACATATGGGTCATCAAGAAGTGAAGTGGGCAAACATACCTCATAGAAAGGCTGCCTCTCGTCCTTCCAGTCCGCAAACAGCAGGCAGTAAATGAGGACAACTAGACCACCATCAACATTAGGTCATTAAATCACAGCCAGTATATACCCACAACTAATAGTCCCCAACTGCGCCAACTGCACCATCTTGTTCCATCTCGGCCTCTGCGCAATGTGGTGAATCTTCCTCTTGTACCGCTTCTCGTACTTGAGTTGTTCCTGCGGGCTCATGGTCTTGAAATCGGGCGGCCATGTTTTCTTGGCCGGGTACTGTGTGAGAAGGGCGGGACTGATGTGGGGGAGCTTGACAAAGGCTTGTGGCAGCTCGTTGGAATTGGCGGCTGTTGATGATGCCTTTTGGGCGGCTTGCCGGATGGCTGTTCGAAACATTGTTTGTCGTTGTTTGTTAATAAGTGAGGAGTTCGTTGTTGTAAGTGACGATATGACGATACGTGTACGCGAGTAGTTGTAACAATAGGGTTCAGAGGGGAGTCCTGTTAGTGACAGGGGAGACTGGTCATTGGGGACAGAGTGGAATGGATCATATGGAGCTCATGATGGAGTTGATCACTGCATGGATCCGAAGCCATTTCGAGGTTGCCCGATAAGATAAGAGGTCGGTTTGTGGCTGGTGAGTAACTTTAGCAGATACACTGCGTAGCTCTTACTTGAGCCACCGACTAAAATGATAGAGCCCGGTACATAAGCCACAGTCCGCTGAGTGGATGCCGCCGTCTTGCCGTCGGGTGCCTGAGAGGGACTAGGTGGGTGAACTGCACTGACCCCGCGAAATGCCCGGGCGTTACAGTGCTTCAGTTGCCGTGCCCCTCCAAACCAAAGAATCTGGATTGCTGGAGGCGACTGACTGAGCGAGTTCCGTTGCCGTTGTCGTCCCAAAATTTCCGGAATCTGACTCAATTCCACAGGTCAGTCATCCCGTCAAACAAGCAGCAATCCTTTCTGGTTCTGGCTTCACTTCTTGTCGCCTCGCTGTGCTGTGCTTGTAGGTACAACAGTCAATGCCGAGTTTCTAACACTTCAGTTTGCGAAACAGAGAATTCGCAGTCCGGGTTGCCGACTTCGGTCTTTCTTTTCTTCCTCCTCTCACCACCAAGACCAGACATCACCACATAAACAAACATGGCCGACACAGCAGCCGTCGCCAAGGGCGTCGAGAACCTCTCCGTCTCCGCCTCCAAGACCAAGGAGCTCAAGGGCACCGAAAAGAGAGACACCCTCATCGAGATCGAGAAGAGGTACCAGCAAAAATGGGAGCAGGAGGGCGTCTTCGAGGTCGATGCCCCCTCCACCGCCGAGTTCCCTCTCGACGCCATCACCCCCGATGAGCTGCGCCAAAAGCACCCCAAGTTCTTCGGCACCATTGCCTACCCCTACATGAACGGCCGCCTCCACGCCGGCCACGCCTTCAGCTTCTCCAAGATCGAGTACCACACCGGCTTCGCCCGCATGCAGGGCAAGCGCGCCCTCTTCCCCCAGGGCTACCACTGCACCGGTCTGCCCATCAAGGCCTCGGCCGACAAGCTGGTCAAGGAGATTGAGATGTTTGGCCAGGAGTTTGAGCGCTACAAGGAGGACGAGGTCGTCGAGGGTGCCGCCCCTGCCGCTGCTGCCCCTGCCGCTGCTCCCAAGACCAAGGAGGACCTCACCAAGTTCAACGCCAAGAAGGGCAAGACGGTCGCAAAGACGGGCGGCGCCAAGTACCAGTTCCAGATCCTCAAGTCTCTCGGCATCCCCGTCTCGGAGATTCACAAGTTCGCCGACCCCCAGTACTGGCTCCACTACTTCCCTCCCGAGTGCAAGAAGGATCTCACCAACTTTGGTGCCCGTATCGACTGGCGCCGTCAGTTCGTCACCACCGACGCCAACCCCTACTACGATGCCTTTGTCCGCTGGCAGATGAACCGCCTCTTGGAGCTCAACAAGATCAAGTTCGGCAAGCGCTACACCATCTACTCCATCAAGGACGGCCAGCCCTGCATGGACCACGACCGTAGCGAGGGTGAGGGTGTCCTTCCCCAGGAGTACACTGCCCTCAAGCTCAAGGTCACCGAGTGGGCGCCCAAGGCTGCCGAGGCTCTCAAGGGCAAGCTTCCCGAGGGCGCCAACGTCTACCTCTGCCCTGCCACCCTCCGTCCCGAGACCATGTACGGCCAGGTCTGCTGCTTCGTCGGCCCTGCCCTCAAGTACGGTGTCTTCAAGGCCGCCGAGAACGAGTACTTTGTCATTACCGAGCGCGCCGCCAAGAACATGGCCTACCAGGGCATTTTCGAGAAAGAGGGCGTCATTGAGAAGGCTGCTGATATCGTCGGCTCCGACCTCATCGGTACCCTCGTCAACGCGCCCCTCTCCGTCCACAAGGAGGTCTACGTCCTCCCCATGGACACCGTCCTGGCCACCAAGGGTACCGGTGTCGTCACCTCCGTTCCCTCCGACTCTCCCGACGACTGCGCCATGATGACCGAGCTCGCCAAGAAGCCCGAGTTCTACGGCATCCAGAAGGAGTGGGCCGAGAAGGAGATTGTCTCGGTCATCAAGACCCCTACCTCCGACCTCCTTGCCCCTTACCTCGTCAAGAAGCTCAAGATCAACTCGCCCAAGGATGCCAAGCAGCTCCTCGAGGCCAAGGAGCTCGCCTACAAGGAGGGCTTCTACCAGGGTATCATGAACTACGGTGACTTCAAGGGCGAGAAGGTCGAGACCGCCAAGCCCAAGGTCCGCCAGCAGCTCATCGACGCCGGTGACGCTTTCGCCTACTCCGAGCCCGAGAACAAGGTCGTTTCCCGTTCCGGCGACGAGTGCTCCGTCGCCCTCATGGACCAGTGGTACATTGACTACGGTGAGGACTCGTGGCGCACTATCCTCTACGACTATGTCGAGAACAAGGACGGCAAGGGCATCAACACCTACTACGCCGACACCCAGCACGCCTTCAAGGGTGTCATCGGCTGGCTCAAGCAGTGGGCTTGCGCCCGTACCTACGGTCTCGGCTCCAAGCTTCCTTGGGACCCCAACTTCCTTGTCGAGTCTCTTTCTGACTCTACCGTCTACATGGCCTACTACACTGTCGCCCACTGGCTGCACAGGGACCTCTTCGGTCGTGAGAAGGGCAAGGGCAACATTGGCGCTGACCAGATGATCGACGAGGTCTGGGACTACATCTTCTGCCGCACCGAGCTGTCTGACCACTTGGTCACCAAGTCCGGCATTCCCAAGGAGACCCTCGACTCCATGCGCCGCGAGTTCCAGTACTTCTATCCCCTCGACATCCGTGTCTCGGGCAAGGATCTCATCCCCAACCACTTGACCTTCTGGCTGTACAACCACATCGCCCTCTTCCCCCGTGAGTACTGGCCCAAGTCCGTCCGTGCCAACGGCCACTTGCAGCTCAACGGCGAGAAGATGTCCAAGTCTACTGGCAACTTCATGACCCTCGACGATGTCGTCAAGAAGTACGGTGCCGACGCCGCCCGTGTTGCTCTTGCCGATGCCGGTGATGGTATTTCGGACTCCAACTTTGTCGAGGATGTCGCCGACAACACCATTCTCAGGTTCTACACCAACAAGGAGTGGATCGAGGAGACTCTCAAGGACGAGTCTCTCCGCACTGGCGAGCTCAACAGCTTCCAGGATGCCCTGTTCGACAACGAGATGAACGCCCTTGTCAACGAGGCCCGCAAGCACTACGAGGAGACCTCGTACAAGCTTGCTCTCAAGGCTGCTCACTACGATTTCTTGAACGCTCGTGATATGTACCGTGAGGCTTGCGCTGCTGCTGGCATTCCCCTGCACAAGGACTTGGTCACCAAGTACATCCGTCTTCAGGTACGTTTTTTTTTTTTTTTTTTTTTTTTTTTCCCCCTTGCCCCATCAACATTTTCACTTTCGGTACTAACTCGTCTTCCAGGCCCTCGTCATCACCCCTATCGCCCCTCACTGGGCCGACTACGTCTGGCAAGAATGCCTCGGCGAGCCCAAGTCCATCCAGTTCGCCCGCTGGCCCGAGGTCCCCGCCGCCAACCCCGCCCTCACTGCCGCTCGCGACTACGTCCGCACCACCTCCTCCGCCATCAACTCCGCTGAGGCCGCCCAGCTTAAGAAGATGGCCAAGGGCCGCCAGTCCGACTTCGACCCCAAGAAGCCCAAGAAGCTCACCATCTTCGCCACCGAGAACTTCCCCACCTGGCAGGCCAAGTACATCGACCTGCTCTCCGAGGTCTGGGATGCTGCCACCGGCACTCAGAAGATCGATGATAAGGAGCTGAACGGCCGCATCGCCAAGATGGGCGAGATGAAGAAGGCCATGCCCTTCGTCCAGGCGCTCAAGAAGAGGTTGAAGGATGGCGAGCCCGCTGAGCAGATCCTTAGCCGCAAGCTGTCCTTCGATGAGAAGGCGACGCTGTTGGCTATGATCCCCGGTCTGAAGAGGACTGCTGGCTTGGAGAGCGTGCAGGTTGTTCTTGTTGAGGAGGGCAGCAAGACGGGCAAGGACTTGACGAATGGTGGTGCTGAAATCGAGGTTACGGCGCCAATGGCTGAGGCTGCTCTTCCTGGCCAGCCCAGCTTCTTCTTTACCAATGTCTAAAGAGGTGATGCGTTGTAGGATGGGAAATCTACGTGGTGGGTAGTGATGGTTTTCTGATGAGTGTCATTTGTTTGGGTTTTGATATCATGGATGGTTAAAAGTTTTAGCGATGAATAGATTTGTGTTCATCTAGGTGACGGATTATGTGTCCAAGCTCTCATGTTCAAAAGACACAGCTGTGTGGCGGTGGTTGGCCTGATGTTGGGATGTGTCTGGTCGCGTCACTTACACTGGGAGGCCTCAAAGCATCGACTGTATCGTCTTGACCCAGTGGGCAAGGAAGAGCCAGAGCCGCTTCATGGGCAACCAAGCACAGTTCTTCCCCTGGAGAGCCCGGGTATGTTAGTTCGGAGCTCGTTGTTCTGCCTGGTTTGGAACCCGCTCGCCTGCTTGAGTTCCGGAGAGTTGGCCCGGAGGCTCGAGCACCGGCGGTCGGACCTCACTGCCCCCGTACACAGGATGTTCGGCTGCTCGTAACTACAGTCCTCAGCAGCCATCCAAGTATTCAGCTTCTTCGGAGAGCACGTGAAGAGGTCGGCGCTATTGCGAGGCTTGCCAGTTACGAGGGCATCAGCATGCTTCGGAAACATCTCCCCGCTCCGAAGGCAGAATGAGTTGAGGAGTCCAGGCTCGGGGGAATAGGTCATCCCTGTTGATTGCGTAGTTGTGTCAGCATCATGTTGTACTAGACTCCCTGAAGGGGATACGAAGCTCCAGTGTCGGCCATGATGACCTCACTCCTGAAGTGAAGCCGAGTGTTCATCCGGCGTTGGACTTGCCCACAGCCTTCCTGGAACTTGGAGTCAGCTCTCATGTTGTTCGTCCCCGGTAGGCAGTGCAAGCTTTCTCTTTCATCATCCAGACATCTTCAGCGTCTTGGTATCTGATCACCTCATCTCCAGCCTCCCCTCATCTAACCTTTAATAGCCGTCTCCTTCCCTTCGTTTCTTCCGTCATCTTACCTACCTCACAACGCTTTATCATCCTTTCTGCTCTCGTTTTTCCCCTCGAAGCTAAAGCAAGACAAAAGTCAACGAAGAGAGGATCAGCTCACTCGCTACCAAAGCCACGAAATCTACCAAAGCCAAAACAAGCCAGCCACCGACCGGTCCTAAAGTCACCTAAGCAAGATGCGTTCCTCCACTCTCCTCGCTGTTCTCGGCACTGCCAGCCTTGCTGCTGCTCAAACCACCATTACCAGTATTTACGTGAGCACGCCGACCTCAACTTCTTCGAGTAAGTCTCTCTCTTTTGGTGTCCCGTCCATCCATTCTCACTGCCTTTTCCAACTGTTTTGTGTTTTTGTCACAGCACGTCCTCGTCAAAACGAGCGCCTCCAGTCTTGTCTAGCCTCTTGCATGATTCAATTCCCGTCCCTCCCTCGTGTGACAGGTGGTGGTGGTGTTATTCCACCTGCGCCTGCTGCCAAGGGGTGTCGGGGTCGGACGGACCGGCTGGATGGGGTTGCGCGTAATGTCGGACCTTGTCATCCCCATCAACCCCCTCCTCCTCCTCTTCCGGTCACTTTTCCACCGTATCCTCCCCCGAAAGCGCCTATCCCTGTTCAGACTCCTCGTCCTGTTCCTGTTAACTCGTTGTCTCCTGATCCTGATCCTGCGGGGTTTGTGCCTGGGAATGAGGATGAGGAGAACTACGAGGATCCCCCTCCTCTTCCTGACGACCCTCCTGTTGCGTCGCTTCCCCCTATGGGAATTTAGTTATCCCTACCTAACCACCTCCACCCCTTCTCTCCCCCCCCCCCCCCCCCCCCCCTTTCTCCGTTGTTTCCTCCTTTGAACCACGCTCTTCCTGCATCTCATCCACCACTCTCCCTCTTTTTCATCCTACTAACACCCCGAAAAAAAAGCCACCACAACAGTCACACCCTCCTCTTCCACCACTTCCACTTCCACCTCCTCCACAACCACCACCGTCTACTCTTCTAGCACCACCAGTAGCTACACTTCTTCGGGCGTCACTACCTCCACTTCCACCTCCACTTCTACTGCGTCTCCGTCTTCGGTGCCTAGTGCTGCGGCTGGAAAGGTGCCGTTGCAGGGACCGGCGGTGGGGTTGGGTGTTTTTGCGGCGGTGGGGATGGTTTTGTTGTGAGAGGGTTTCGGGTTTTGGGTTTCGGTTGTGATGTTTCGGGGTTGGATTCTTTTGGGTTACGGTTTGGATGGGATTTGGCAACGGTTTGGGGGTTTTGGGCTTGGGTGAGGAAGTAAATGAGTGGGCAAGGGGAGTTTGTGGACTTGTAGTGTCAGTAATGTTGGGTGGTAAGTGGTTTTCGGTGATGTTGGGGGGGGTGGAGGTGATGGAATAGAAGATGGGATGGCAAGGTGGTAGTGGTCATACAAATCATGATGTTGTTGAGTACGCTGATGTTGATTGTTGAGCACATACGGAGAGAGAGGCATCCAGTACCGATAGGAGAAAGGATTTCACGAGGGGAGGTGTGCGGGCGAGAAAGTCGAATTCAGGGTAATGATGTTAGGGGTCCGGGAATGAGATACTGGCGAGAACGAAAGCACAACAGCATCGGGAGGTGGACCTGGGGATGGAGGTCCAGATTGTTGGGGATTCACAAATCATTAGAGTGTGGGCAGCGGTATGAGTGGGCGAGAAGGGGGGGGGATTCTCAAAGATGAAGTTCTTGAGGTGGATGTTCTATGATAATGGAGAGAAGGAGAAGCAGGAGAAGCAGGAGGAAGCGTAATATGGAGTATTATTGTATATAAACAAAAGAGTTAATGATGAGTTTCTTTTCCTAATCATTTCGGTTAATTGACCTCCAAGATGTCATAACTCGTTCGAAATCTTCAACCTCTGTCCAAAGAAAAGGGGGAAAAAATAATCATGTCAGGAGAATGACCACTGCTTCGAAATGCCCCCCCCCCAAAAAAAAAAGGAAACATGATATAGTTGCTGGTCGCAGATGCATGGGGAGCGAAAAGCCAAAAAGATGTTGTGGATGACCCCAACCCGATTTGAACGGATAACCTTTCGATCTGGAGTCGAACGCGCTACCGTTGCGCCATAGGGCCTTGTTATAAGTGAGGTCCATATTGGAACCCTATAACCATAAGCTGAAAGCACCGCAACCAGTGACAACTTGCTCATCTTTACGCACTTCGGTGATATGCATTCTAAGGGAAGTGCTTCAAGCCTTGGGTCCAGCTTGGGCCCCTTTAGCCAATATATATAATGGGTTCTGCGTTTTGTCTCATGGCATGTCTTTTGCGTAGCATGACTACAGCGATCGAGGAAGATTTTACTGTACCCGTGCACGGGTAGTAACGAAGCAATACAACGTCTTGGTAAGTTACGCAGCTTTGACTTACACGCATTGCCCGTCTTGGCGTACTACACGGTAAGATACTCCGCCTCTCCCCACACTTCCATCCGCGCGCCGCACTCGCCAAAAGTTCAGTTCACATCTGACTGACATTTTGCCCCTCCACTGCACTGTCCCGCTTGCCGCGCTGACTCTTTTTTTTGTCCATTCTTCAACTTTCCAGCATATCACATCAGCCTTCAACCCAGCCAACGCTTCCAACTCTTCCGCTCCCAATCCCAACTCGTGAAATCTGCGCCCGATCAAAACTATTCCGCGAAATTCTCAACCGAAACCCGAAACAGCCAAAATGTCCGACGAAGAATACTCCATCTACGACGAAGTCGAAATCGAAGACATGACCTACGACCCAGCGCTGCAGACGTATTCGTACCCCTGCCCATGCGGCGACAAGTTCGAGATTGCGCTCGCCGACCTCCAGGACGGTCAGGACATTGCCGTTTGCCCGAGCTGTAGCTTGATGGTTAGGGTCATTTTTGAGGTTGTGAGTATTGCCCTTTTCTGTGTGTGGGGGGAGAGACTAGGACATGGAGGCGAGAAGGTTTGGGGTTGGGTGGAATGCAGCAGTGTGCTAACCAACGGGTGATTATCTAAACAGGATAACCTCCCCAAGGCACCGGATGCCGCGGCGTCTATTGCTGTTTCCGCTTAATGGGGGACTACGAAGTCGAGTGAGAAATCTAAAAGGCGTGGACATCAGAAGTTGCTCGCAACGAGGCGTTCATGATTCTGTATACCGAGGCTGAAGGATAGGATAACATGGGCCTTTCCAACATCAACTTGCAACCAAAGCCTCAATGCTACAGCAGAAGCAAGCCGATTGCTTTCTCGAGCCCAGTCCAGTTCATATCAGTCGTCCTCGCCCTGGTATGCATCGAGGCCACGCCAGCCAGCCAGCCAATTAAACAACCTATCAGCCGGCGCATCCTCTACTGCCCTCGCCCATGCGAATGACTCGAACACCAAACCGACTCGATCCGATACGAGAGCACCTCAACCTCGTCAGGAACAGAAAGCCAACAGTGCCGCCCCGGCCGCTCGGCGGCAACCTCAAACATATCGCGGGACCAAGACGTCCATGCCACTAAGTGTCCACAACCCCTGGAAGAGAACAACGAGCATTGCTGTCGATGACGAGAGAAGAATGGAAGGAATCGCTCTACATCCGTGAACCTTTTGGCTGGTCGTTTTGGCGACCGGAGGGAAGCTTAACAGACGATTCGTCGACGTCTTGGCTCCGCCGCCCTGGGTTTGATTGCGACCATGTGCTTTTGGCGATTAATATCTGGATTGGGCTTCGCGGACATGGGACAAGCGTTGTTGCGTCACAGCCGTCGATATCGGACTCGGGTCAGAATGTCCCATCAAATTACACCTGAACAATGGGTTGAGCGAAGCCAAAAGACAGGGGCTGGATCTGGATGGGTGGACTTCGATGGCGTTTTAGGTGGTGTGTCTTCAGTATCCGGTCGACAAATAACGTGCGATGGAAGTGGTAGGGCTTGATCAACGCTTTTGGCACCTCGGGTATATCGTACAGGCGTTGGTGTTGGGAGATCTGCTTTGGAATTTGTGATATGGGGGTTATCGCTTGAAGCTTTACCAAGTAGGAAACCACAATAAAAGTCCCATAGACTACCTAATGAGCATTGAATACCCGCTACAAGAACCTTGCATTGACTAGGTCTCCATATTGTGTCTCGGCGGATCCTAGTTCACCCATCCCATCAACCGTTTTCCATCCCATCAGTACCCCCAGGGCCTCACCCTCATCTTAATGTCAGGTACCTAACCACCCAAAAACCCCCTCCTCTCATTCCTCCTCCTCTCGCTGCTCAGCGCATCAAGCTTGACCGCCACCAAACAGCATTCCACCACCGACGACGCCTTAGCCGGGTTGGAGGTCAAGGGACTGGACGCGTTCTTGGTGTTGTTAACCGATTGAATACGCAGCCGCCACTGGCCGGTTTTGACGATCCATTGCTCGCCGCCTAGTGGTGAGGTGGGGACGGTGGTTGTTACTCCGTAGGGCGGGCTGGAGTCTAGGCGTCGGCGTTTGCGGGGGTTGGGGTTTTCGTCGAGTGGTGATGATTGTTGGTGGTTCGGTTGTTGGGAGGAAGAGGGGTTGGTGCTGAGGTTGATGGAATTGGGGGTTTCGGCCGTTGAGGGGCCGCCGGAGGAGGAGGCAGATGGGAAGGTGGTGCCGGGGGTGCTGTTTACGGTTTCGTGTGCGGGTAGTGATGGATGGGCAGTTTGATCAGAGTCGTCTGCTGTCCAGGGTTGGCCGTCTAATGTTATGCTTGCTTCGGGGTCGAGGATGACGCGGATGAGGTCCTCGCTGAGAAGAGTGTCTCTTGACGTGGGCGGTTCGCTACCCATCCCTCCTTTGGCCATCAATAGCCCCGAGAGCTGAGTGGAGGAGGGCAAGTTGAGCTTGGTAGCGATGACGTCGAATAACTTGGCCATTTTCGCCTTGATGTCCGTGAAGAACTCCGCTCTGACATCCTTCCCGCCAGGTCCAATGTGTAACCGCGTGGCTTCTTCGCCGATTTCAAGTACGAGTTCCATCGCTTTGTCGTCCGCATACGGCCTGGCGTAATTCACCCACCCCGCCAACGGATCTCCCTCCACCGGCTCATTAGCCACGCTTATACCGCTCTTCATAATATCTCTCAACCCCAGCACAATCTCCTCCCGTCCCCTGACCTGATTGAACCCCTTTTCATGCGGGATCAACCGCTGCTCCAGGCCCTTGAAGTTGAAATACCTGCAGTCCCTCAGAAGCTCCTGCCGATGCCTCTCATCCCTGATCTTCACCGGGTACCCTCTCAGCATATGCAGTAGTTCCTGAAAGACCTCGGCACTGCGATTCGGTACATTAGGCGCGACGATGGACGGCGGACGAATCAGACCCTCCTTGTCCAGACCGGGAAACAAATCCTCGGGATTGCTGAAAAAGATGGCGAACCCGAGCGTAAAGAAGTTGGGCGTGTTCCCGGGTCCAGAAAGGGAGAAGATTTCGCGCGGGATCTGGAAGGGTGTGGAGCCGATGGTGATGTGGATGGGTTCCTCGTAGAGCTGGGACATGAGCTTGGGAAGGGAGTAGAACTGGGCATCGGCGAAGAGGCGGACAAGGTGAGTGGCGTCCCGGGGCCGGACGTGGTAGCCCTGGAGGTGCAGAGAGATGTCTTTGAAGGTGACGGGGTCGCGGTCGATGTAGAGGGTGCGGATGGCGGTGGAGGCGTCTTGGCCGGCGTCGGAGGCCTGTTTGAGTTGGCAGAGGAAGTACTGCGAGAAGTAGGAGGGGGCTGTGGATGTGTTAGTCATGTATGAAGTGTACCTAGGAAAGGGATGAAGTGACCAACCATCAGAGGAAAGTGAGGCGCCGGACAGCTTGAACAACTCAGTACCTATCTGAATGGGAAACACCCGTTCGTGAGGAAGAATGTTCGGTATGTGAACTATCCGTTGGTGTGAAGAGGCTGAGATGACGGATACGCCATGTTCACCGTTTCTGGCGGGAACACTATGCCCTGAGCTGGTCATTGCTAGCTGCTCTCAGTACAAGATGCTCACAAAAATTGTAAATGGTTGTCGCGGCGGAACCAAGGTATTTGGACTTTGGCTTGGGTAAGCTCATTGTCCGTGATTGGTGGGGATTGAAAATATTATGAAGTGAATTCCTCGTGCAAGTCGTGATCTTTTTCAGCGAAGGGTATATGGAAAGCTCGGGATGGAAAAGTGAAGATGATTATAAGAAATGGAATGTTTTACGGATCGTGAATGGGCATGGTCTACAAACTAAAAGTGCAAAAAAAACGCGAAGATGTGTTACATGTGATGATATACATGTATAAGAGAGGGGAGGTCGCAATATAAGTTAAGCGTTCCTGTCGGCGTGGCACCAGGATTGCGGTCTGCCCAGGTCTGTCTGGTCATCTTTGTCTTTGTGTGCAGTGAAGAACCCAAAGTCAATTCTAGGCCACGCCAAGGAAGAAGCACAGCGCTCATGTCGCCGGTGTGGAGTGTGGGTGGTGGTCCCTGCGGCCCCCGCCATCTCTCCCTAATGTCTAACCTAAAGCGGTATGGCTCTCCGTTTATGTATTAACCGTCACCCCGCTCGCATCGGGCCGTCACGCAGTCATGGAACAGCTGTCGGCTACTCTTGGCCAGTTGTCTATGTAGTCCCCCCGGCCTGGGCTGTCAAGGTACGCATCGTTTTCTACCATGAAGTTGACGATGTGTGATGTGGATGGATTGGTGGCGGTTGAGACGCTCACTCATGACTGAGAGCTTTCATGAGGAGAAGGAGCAAACTGACGAAATGCCAACTTGGGCGGGGAATGAGCAGAGGACATGGAACAGGGCAGTCCATCCATGTTCTACCGTGGAGGAAGCAGTGCACCTTCCGGTTCCTGCCATTCGGCGACCCAGAGACAAGGCCAGCAGAGGCTGCTTTTTCCAGCGAAAGCGGAAAACAGGCGTTCAAAGTTCAGTTTCAGAGTGCAATGGTTGACCACGAATCGAAAAATGCCGGCTGGTCAAGTGTCCAGTTGACACCGTCATTCGGGCCTCGGCAGCGGTTGATTGCTTCCGCCGCAGCACCAAACACTTGCCCAGCATGGATGGACCAGACCAGGTCAAACGCCGATGCTGGGACCTGGAACCAGAAATGAAGCATGTCTTGTCATCTTCAACGTTTGATGCCTTCATACAGCCGGCATCATGGACTTGTCAGCAGCCTTGGGTGACGGATCTACGCGTGAGGCCCTCAGTTTGCGCCTCTGAGGCGGATATCCTGCCCACTTGTCCTCCCGAATGGTCAACATTACGGATTCTTGCCTTGTGATGAAAGACACAATAGCGTTGTGAGCTTAGCAAAAGCAGGCAAACAATGCCTTGCTTCGTTGGCGGATTGCTCTGGTAGTATCGCGAGAGCAAAACTTGATATCACCCTCATCACTACTCCTTTTTCACACGCCCATTCGTGCTCCATGTTCTTCATATCATTACTATCTAACGGACCCACGTTCGACATGTCTTCAGATCAAATAGACCACGCAAAGGTGGTCTCGGAGCTCTTTCGCCATATCACTGCACACACATCCTACGAGAAGCTCAAGGGCATTTTTGACCAAAATGCTGAGCTCCGCGGCAAAGTCAAAAAGCTCACAACAACTCTTGAGGTGAACCTCGAGAGCCTGCACAACGCCAAAGCGAAACTGGACAAGTCATGCCAAGAGCTGCAAAAGAAAGACGAACAAGTCCAGTCTCTTCAGAAGGAGGCCGACCACCTTGGTTCAATACTCACCGCCAAGACACATGAGCTCAAAGCAGGGGCCCAAAACATAACCAAAACTGAAGACGCATTGAAAAGGGCGGAACTCGAAATCGAGGACCTCAGAAAAAGTCTCGAGGAGGAACGCAAAAAGACCCAAGACAGGGAAGCCATTGAGCAAGAATTGGAGTTGACCAGACACGACTTGGATCATTACAGGCAAGAGATCAAGAAATTGGAAAATTTCTCGGTGCCGTTGAAACCTGCATGTACAAGAGTGGAAGAGATGTGAGCTGTTCCCCTTTCCCCATGTTTGCTCATCAACCTAACGACAATGATATCCAGAACCTCTCGCTTCAACAAGATTTTCGACCTCGCTTGCGATCTAGCCAAGGAATTCTTTGGGGCAGACCTTCCTGAGTCTTCCTTAGCCAACGCTACACTGTGGGATCAACTGAAGAAGCACAACATTGTTCACCAAGCACGGATTCCATTACCCTTATCCAATACTGCCGCCGCCAAGCAAATGCGCAGCGTCGCTGCTCTCGCTGTCCTCTATGCTGAGCTAAAGAAGCATGTCTTTCAGCCGACGTATCTGTTCGAGGACCCCCGTGCCAACGACGAGTTTAGCAGGTTGCTCAGCACCATGGATCCCGCTAAAGAGGCCTATCTGCGCTCTGTGCTCCTGGGCTCCATTGATAAGGGCGTGTGGAAGGAGAAGGTCAAGGCCAAGATAGAGACACTGAAAGCCAGTGTGGATGACTGCATCGGGCCGTTGTTGTCACAGTCAGAACGAAATCGTTTCAAGGACCATCTGGACCGCTTCTGCAAGAAGGCTTGTCACCATTGGCATTACTTGCAGAAGCTGGAGGACAGGGTACATTACTCGACTCAAGATTGGGTAGTAGCGGGCTCCGAAGCCTATCGGCTGCTTCCGTTGTCAACCATGGTCGTGGTGAGCGAGGAGCTGCCCGATGAGACGTATCCGGGTGAATATCCTGACAGCCCCAGACAAAACTATTCGCTTATGGGAAACGGGCAGTCATCCCCCGTCATGTCTTGCTCAAATGTCACCTTTACACAAGACATAGATAAGTTATCGACGTCACCATCACCGTCCAGGTCAAGAACCGGAACTTTCGACAAAACATCTAGCGCGGCCGCCGCCCTGACCACCGCAGCTGGGCCCAGTGAAGTCTTGGCCGTTCTCTGGCCTGCTTTTTACATTGACTCCTGCACGGCAGAAGAAGATACCTCCATGATTTCGCCAGGCTATGGAGTGTGCGAGAGTCAGCTCAAGACAGCCAGGGAAGAGGAGGCGCATTCGACTGGCACACATCGCGCGGCCAGGCAGAGTCGAAGATGCCGAGACATGTCGTCCGCTGCCAAGAACCGAAGCCTGGGGATCGCAGGATATGGAATTGATGATGGTGATGACCAACAAGACAGAGAGTTTGAGCATGGTTGCGAGTCTACGCTTTCGTCGTTTCTAAATGCAGGCCAGTCGGAGCTAAGCAATGGGTCAAGGAGAGGTTGGTGAGGAGAAAGTGAAGAAATGGACAAGGCGGCGGAAGGACTTGAATCGGAAAGATTCTGGAGTGAAGAAAGAACTCTAACCAAAGACAAAGACAGCTGAACCTCCATGTTGACGTTCATCTGTTTGTACAGCTGGCGTTCAACTACTGCAGGAACGTGCATGTTGCAGGTCCAATGCTGCGGCACTGGGTCACTCACGATCTTTCGTCGGTACGCAGAACACCAACCAATCTACCAATAATGGCTGCCAATTGGATCATTTTGTGTGGTGAATGTTTTGACCTTGAGTGATGCTCAGAACCCCAGTCGAAATGTTACTCTCGTTCCCGAGCAGATGGGTGAGTATTTCGGGGTAAAATACCACTTTGGTGATCTCCTTTTCCACGTTGTCAAAGTCAATCCATGTTGTCGTTCAGGTACCCGGTAGCTGAGAGACACCAAAACGCAGCAGCTTTACTCCACCGCAACTGTCCAGAAAAGAATGACCCTTTTAAATCAGTCACCTTACATAACCCCAGACTTTTGCTGCTGCCCCTGACGCGGTGGCTGGCAGAGTTCTGGACCACCGTCTGAAGGGAGGAGTCAGTCCAGGGGCAAGAACAACAGGCGGAACAGTGCAAGACGCCGGCACCACGGCAACCATGACCTAGTACCACCACTGCAGCAGGTGGTGATGCCCCCAAATGAGTGCCCCCTTGGTGGCGGATATCGAACGGACGAGGGGCCAAGGGGGGCACGGTGCACGGACCACAAAGTACTTAACAGCCCGACAGGTCGTTGCTGTCGCTGAAAGTCAAGTCCATGACTCGTTTCGGGGGGCCTGGAGGTCCAGCCAGCTACTGCTACTGCCAGAAAATTGCAGTGGTAATGTCTGAAAAAAAAAAAAAAAAAAAAAAAAAAAAAAAAAGAGGCTTCGATCGATGACTGCCCGCCCTGAACACACGGCACGCAGATACACCTACCACCCAGATTTGCGCCTGACGACGGGAGACGATGGTCGGTCGGTGGTCGGACAGTCACCTCAGTTAGGAGCCAAACCACGCTTTCCCCCATTGGGCAGACTGGTGTCAACAATCAAATTTCCCCACCACTACCTACCACAGGCCAGGTCAGGTCGAGCACGTCCACTTTCTGTTGGTTCGTTGCTTTGCTCATCAGGCACTTTCACTTCGTTCCGCCCGCCGCTCGCCAAATCCTCAATTTTGCACATCCCATCCATCCCATCCACCGCATCGCTGCCCTTTCTCCAACAATCCACCCGCGACGCCGTCTTCCCGAGTCTCGACAACTTTTTGCTTTCCACTTCTTTCTACCACCACCACTACTACTACATACTCCTTCTTAATACACACCAAACCCATCCAAAATGCGTGAAATCATCAGCTTGAACGGTATGTCGACAGCTTCCCTATCGTCCATCTCCTGAACCAGGGCACCGCTTTCTCGCCCATCTTTCCCGCCCTTCCCGTTCGCCTCCATAGTGGCGCGTGTTGTCGGCGAAAAAGCAGCCTCACCGCCAGCGTGAACCCGTCGCCCACCAAAAGCTGGCGCATCATCGGCCTCATTCACGACCTATTCGCCTACTCATCCATCGCCGAGATCAACAGGCATGCTAACGTTGCTTCCCTCATCTAGTCGGCCAGGCCGGTTGCCAGATCGCCAACTCCTGCTGGGAGGTATGTCATCGTCCGCCCTCTCCTGTCATCCCCCACCACACGCGACACATCCCGTCTGTCCGAAATAGCACCGACAGACGAACCATGGACCATTCGACCGCCCTCAAAATATACATGGGACAAAGAAAACTAACTCTCTTATCAGCTTTACTGCCTTGAGCACGGCATTCAGGTAAGCTTCGCCCCCATTCCTCCCCACGGCATATATCCCCGCCATCCGCACAAGATATGCTAACATACGACACCACAGCCCGATGGTTACCTCACCGAGGAGCGCAAGGCCGCTGACCCCGACCATGGCTTCAGCACTTTCTTCTCCGAGACCGGTACATAGCGCCCTTGCTCAACACAACCCGCGAAACGGAAGCTTACAAATACAAATATAGGCAACGGGAAATACGTTCCTCGCACCATCTACGCCGATCTCGAGCCCAACGTCATTGACGAGGTCCGCACCGGCGCCTACCGCGGTCTCTTCCACCCCGAGCACATGATCAGCGGCAAGGAGGATGCCTCCAACAACTACGCTCGTGGTCACTACACCGTCGGCAAGGAGCTGATTGACCAGGTCCTCGACAAGGTCCGCCGCGTTGCCGACAACTGCAGCGGTCTCCAGGGTTTCCTCGTTTTCCACTCGTTCGGTGGTGGCACTGGTTCCGGTTTCGGTGCTCTCCTCATGGAGCGCCTCTCGGTCGACTATGGCAAGAAGTCCAAGCTCGAGTTCTGCGTCTACCCTGCTCCCCAGACTGCCACCTCGGTCGTTGAGCCTTACAACTCGATCCTCACCACCCACACCACCCTCGAGCACGCTGACTGCTCCTTCATGGTGGACAACGAGGCCATCTACGACATCTGCCGCCGCAACCTTGGCCTCGAGCGCCCCAACTACGAGAACCTTAACCGCCTGATCGCTCAGGGTATGTCATGGCTTGGCTCTGATGTGTGTGATTTTCCTAGACTAACTTTTTCCATCTCAGTCGTCTCTTCCATTACCGCTTCGCTCCGCTTTGACGGCTCCCTCAACGTCGATCTCAACGAGTTCCAGACCAACTTGGTCCCCTACCCCCGTATCCACTTCCCTCTGGTCGCCTACGCTCCCGTCATCTCGGCTGCCAAGGCCGCCCACGAGGCCAACTCGGTCCAGGAGATGACCATGTCCTGCTTCGAGCCCAACAACCAGATGGTCAAGTGCGACCCCCGCCACGGCAAGTACATGGCCACTTGCTTGCTCTACCGCGGTGACGTTGTCCCCAACGACGCCCACGCTGCCGTCGCTACCCTCAAGACCAAGCGCACCATTCAGTTCGTCGACTGGTGCCCTACTGGTTTCAAGCTTGGTATTTGCTACCAGCCTCCTCACCAGGTCCCCAACGGCGATCTGGCCAAGGTTAACCGTGCTGTGTAAGTTTCTCTTGGTCTCTGTATGCTGTAATTCCTAGTGTTCTAACCGTGACAATAGCTGCATGCTTTCCAACACCACCGCCATTGCCGAGGCCTGGTCTGCTCTTTCGTCCAAGTTCGATCTCATGTACTCCAAGCGTGCCTTCGTCCACTGGTACGTTGGTGAGGGTATGGAGGAAGGCGAGTTCTCCGAGGCCCGTGAGGATCTTGCGGCCCTTGAGCGCGATTACGAGGAGGTTGCTGCCGACTCGATGGAGGGCGAGGATGTCGAGGCCGAGTACTAAGTGCAAGTACAAGTACAGCAACACAGTGTACGGAATTTGTTGCTTGTGAAAGGATAATTGTTGGTACGAGGATGTTGATGGAATCAGAGGGAAGAGATATACAAAGTACAAGTGGTGGGAAACCAGAGCCCGCCCGACGTCAGAAAGAATACCCACGGAGTCCCTTGATTGTGGCTTCCTGTTAGTTGTTTGAATGGGTGCGCATCAGGTGGTTTGCTAGTGGGATGGTGATGATGATGTTGATAATGGGGTCATTGTTATTATTCCATGGCGAATGTCAGTTTGATGTGGCCTTGAGTTGAGAACTTGTGGTTGTTGACACTAGTTTGTTGTTAGACTGAAACGTGATAGCCGATTTTAATTGAGTGAGGTAGTATTGGTGTAAGTGATTGGTCCAAGACAGGTTATGTAAGTGTCAGGTCAACCTCGATAGCTTCAGGATCAGCAAGTCAGAGTGGTGCAATGCAGTGTGCAGAAATGGCAACGAAGGTGGTGGTGTGGAAGCGGGTTGGTGTAGTTGTGGTTATGCAACGAACGCGAGTGGCGTTGGGGGTTGGACGGAGGGAACGTTGTTGGTTGGAGGTTAGGTTGTGATGAACATGGGAGATGAAGATATGATGGGGGGATCACTGCCACGGCAAGACACCAGACTGCGAGGATAAAGTGAGCGATGAGCGAGAGAAGCTCGAGGATAAAGAACAGCTTGATACTTGTATAGCTTCGTTCGGCCTCAGAGACTATCATGGTTATAGAAGGTTGAAGGTAGATTTTGAAGTACCTCAGTATGTTTATATCCACATCAATGATCCGTCTTTGGGATAGGTACTTATGACATCGATACCTAGGCTCTAGGGTAGATAAAGGGACAAATGCACGCACAGAACATTGCAGCCGCTCTTGTACAGGCGGGCCAACCAGATGACCGACTCCGCACTCTGTGGCACTAACAGCCGCTAGACCCAGCAGCGAACATTACGAGTGGAGCACATTGGCTTCAAGCAGATCCACTTTTCATCTTGGCGGGCCGAACGACGGGATGGAAGCTCTGTAGCGCCCGCTGAAGCAAGTCACTGAGCAGTGTCGTCGCATTCCCAACTGAACCCGACCTCACCACAATCACCCACACCGAGGAGCGAGGCAGACGGGAGGCAGCAATCTGGCCCAGACACCACGGCATAGGTACAGGTAGTAGTCGTCATCAGTCTTGCGTCGTCCTAATTATCTTTTTTTTTGTTTCTCTTTGGCAGTGTTCTCAACGGATCGCCCTTGTGCTTTGGTTGTCTCATCAACCCGAAACATCCAATCCCTTCCTGTTGCGACATCATCCCGTCCAGGGCGTCATTCCCCTTTCCGCGACCCGGCAACCTCAGCTCACCCGCCCAATCCATACCTACCTATCTCCACCAACAACCAACACCACCAACCTACTGACCTCAGCCCAGAAAACCCGACATACTTACTTGCCTGGGCCGCCGACTGACCTCACCTGTACTACGGATACTTTGGAAAAAGAGAAACACTGGGCTACTTATTCACCGACGGTAGCTGGTCCCAGTAACCCGATTCATCCATCACCATAACAACCAAAAATACCCACCCACAAGTCCTTTGCGCAGAGGGTACAGCTTGCCCATGATGGCTTCTGATCCCGATGCTGGTGAGCGCATCCTCAGTCTCCCATGTCCTTTTACCCCCCAATAAGAGCTAATTCCCATGCGACCAGGCGTCCCCAACTTGAACCTCTCCCCCGAGGAGAAGCGAGTCTACGGCCAACTCTTCCGCGCCGCCGATACCGATAGTGTTGGGGTCATCACCGGCGAGGTGGCTGTCAAGTTCTTTGAAAGGACAAAGTTGGATTCCCGCGTTTTGGGAGAGGTCAGTCATCGGATGCCTGTCTCCCGCCCTTTGCTACACCAGCTGACGTATATCCTTCCCAAAAAAAGATATGGCAAATCGCCGACAAGGAAAACAGGGGCTTCCTCACCCCAGCAGGCTTCGGCGTCGTCTTGCGGCTTATCGGGCACGCACAAGCCGGTCGCGAACCTTCCCCCGAGCTCGCCCTGTCGCAGGGCCCCATTCCGAGATTTGACGGCTTCACCCCGACTCCCGCCCCCGTTCCCGTTCCCGGTCCGGCCCAGTCGCCGGCCGTGCCTGCTGCTATGGTTTCCCCGCAGGCCACCGGTTCCGGCCCCATCCGGATCCCGCCCCTGACCCCCGAGAAGGTCGCCCAGTACTCGGCCCTGTTCGAGAGACAGCCGCTGCAGGGAAACATGCTTCCCGGCGAGCAGGCGAAGCAGATCTTTGAGAAGTCGGGACTGTCCAATGAGATTTTGGGAAGAATTTGGATGCTGGCCGATACGGAGCAGCGTGGCGCCCTGGTGTTGACCGAGTTCGTCATTGCCATGCACTTGCTTACTTCGATGAAGACGGGTGCGTTGCGCGGTTTGCCCACCATCCTTCCTGCCGCGCTGTACGAAGCCGCTACGAGACGCGCCCCCGTTGGCGGTATTAATCCTCCTCCCGGCCGATCCCCGACGACCGCTACTCCGCCCCTTCCGCCCGCTGCTAGACACCTTACCGGCCCGGCGCAACTTACGCAGACGAGAACCGGCAGCCCATTGGGACGTCCGCCACTTCCCGCGCAACCGACTGGGGACTGGCTGATTACCCCCGCGGACAAGGCGCGATTCGACCTGTTGTATGAGGAGCTGGATAAGCAGAAGAAGGGCTTCATCACCGGCGAGGAGGCCGTGCCCTTCTTCAGCCAGTCCAACCTCAACGAGGATGTGCTTGCTCAGATTTGGGACCTTGCAGATATCAACTCGGCTGGTCGTCTCACCCGGGACGAGTTTGCCGTTGCCATGTACTTGATCAGAGAGCAGAGAACCAAGCCCGGTCAGGTCCCTCTGCCTACTACTCTGCCTCCTAACTTGATTCCTCCTAGCATGCGCGCCCCGCAGGGCAGACCTCAGACTGCTGCTGGTGGCTTCCAGCCCCCTCGCCCGCAGCCACCTGCGCCGAAGCCTTCGGCCTTGGACGACTTGTTCGGGTTGGACGAGCCTCAGCCTCCTGCTCCTGGTCCGGCGCCGGTTCAGGTACCTATTGCTACGGGCGGATCGGTCGATCCGTTTGGCAACAGTGCTAGTCCCATTGCGCCGTCTTCGCCTATCCGCCCAGTTGCGACGGGCTCCAACTTTAAGCCGTTTGTTCCTTCGTCATCTTTTGGTCGCGGCCTGACTACGCACGTTACCGGAGGCTCGACTGGCTCGGCACCGGCGGGTGGTGTTAGAACTTCTCCGCTGCCGCCAACAGTTGAGGATGATTTGCTAGGTGACGCCGACCCCGAAGTCAACAACAAGCTCTCCAACGAGACTACCGAGCTTGCCAACCTTTCTAACCAGATCGGCTCGCTCACCAAGCAGGTTCAGGATGTCCAAACTCAGCGAACCAACACACAGAACGAGTTGAGCCAAGCCAGTCAGCAAAAGAAGAACTTTGAACAACGCCTTACCCAACTGCGCGCCTTGTACGAGAAGGAAGCCCAGGACGTCCGCGCTCTCGAGACGCAGCTCAGTACCGCCAAGGCGGAGACCAAGAAGCTTCAGACCGAGTTCGCCATGATCGAAGCCAGTTATCTCGAGCTGCAGAACCAGCACCGCACGGTTGTTGCTGGCTTGCAAGCCGACCAGCAGGAGAACGCCTCGTTGAAGGAAAAGATTCGCACGGTCAACGGGGAGATTGCCCAGCTTAAGCCGCTGGTTGAGAAGTTGAAGAGCGAGGCCAGGCAGCAGAAAGGGATGGTGGCTATCAACAAGAAGCAGTTGAGCACGGTGGAGGGCGAAAAGGGGAAGCTACAGAACGAGGTTGAAGACCTTAACAAGGAGAAGGAGGAGCTGGCTAGACAGGTGGACTTGGCGAGACAAGCTAGCCCGGTGCAGCCGGTTGCTAGTCCCGCCCTTTCCACTGGAAGTGGTAACAACCCCTTCTTCAGGAGAACGGGAAGTGCTGACATCGGCGCTGCGTTTGCCTCGAGGTCCATGAGCGGACAGAGTTTCGATGATGTGTTCGGTCCCTCGTTGAACGTCCCTGTTCAGAGCCCGACCCCACCTCCTGCTGCTGCTTCTCCTGTTCCCCAGGTTCAGGCGTTCAAGGCGCAGAACACCGGCACGTCGACCGGTAGTTTCGGTTCGGGCTCGTTCGCCACGCCGGGAAGCACTTCGCCTACGCTGTCTAGGCAGCCTACTATCACCGCTGATAGCGCTGCTGCTCCTGGTGGTGCCTTCTCGCCATTCGGTGAACCCAGCGGTTCTGGTTCTCGCGCTCCTTCTCGCCATGGCTCGCAGGATCAAGCTCCTGCTGCTACTGCTCTCCCCATCGAGCCCGTCCGAACCGGCCAGTCTGCTACTTCCAACCGTCCCAAGTCGTCCGCATCCATTACCAGCCAGTCTAAGCCCGCCGCCGCCCCTGTCGAGGCCGACCCCTTTGCCGTGAATACGGATGCGAAGGCGAAGGAGGACTTTGAGAGTGCTTTCGCTAGCTTCAAGAACACGCAGGCCAAGCCCGCTGCTGCTGCGGAGACTGCAAAGGCTGGTGGATTCAACAAGGTTGACTCGGAGTTCCCGCCTATTTCGGAATTGGAGAGGGACGATGAGAGTGATTCGGACAGCGAGGCGGGTGAGGACAAGGGCGGGTTTGGATTTGATGATGATTTCGCGCCTGCTAGTCCGGTCAAGCCTCCTGTGGGTGCTGAGGCCGGCCAAGCCGAAGCAGTGACTGCGCCAGCTGCTGCTGAGCCAGTTGCCAGGTAAATACGCTCCAGTACTGCTTTCTGTTTTGCTTTGGTGTGTCTTTTTTGTTTTATTTTTGATTTCCCTGTATACCCCAGTTTTGTACAACGAAACAGCAAGACTGATCTGATCCGCTATACAGCGAAACACCCTCATTCACTACTGCCCCTGTCCCATCTACAGATTCTCCAGCTGCCCTAGAGGTATCTAACAACGAAAACTACAGCACTAGCGCCGCCACTACTAGCAACACCAACCTCGACGACATCTGGGGCACCGGTTCTCCCGCTCCCGCCGCTGCTCAACCCCCCGCTGCTGCCCAACCTCCTGCTGCCGCCTCTCAAGCCTCCTCCAAGGGTGCCTTCGACGACCTAGATGACGAATTCGCCGACCTTGAAGACGCCAAGGAAGGCAGCTCCGCCGACGACGTAGAAGACTTTGCCAACATTTCCCGCTCCGGATTTGGAGATGACGGTTTTGGCAGCGGTAGTCAGTTCGGCTCTCCCCCGCCCAGCCAGCCCAAGAGTGATTTCGATTTTGTCCCTTCCCACCAGGCTACCCAGTCGCAGGGATCGTTCGCTGCGCCAAAGGCGGATGCCCATGACTGGGACGCCATCTTTGCAGGTCTGGATGACGGAAGCCAGGCTCAGCAGGGTGGACAAAGCCCGTTTGAGAGCTTGGAGACGCCCAGACCTGGATCGTCTGCTAACCCCCAAACCCAAACTGGTGGGGAGCAGAAGGAGGGTGGTGACAAGGAGCAGAAGAAGGAGGGTGCTGAGGAGAGGCCAGTACCCGGCAGAGCGTTGACGGAGTCAGGCGAACACGATGATCCGATTGTGAAGAATCTGACGAGTATGGGGTACTCAAGACAGGATGCCGTCAAGGCGTTGGAGAAGTATGATTATAATTTGGAGAGGGTGAGTCCTCTTACAACTTAAGAAAAAGAGAGAGTGTGTGTGGTGAGGGGTTGCTAACTTTCTCTTAGGCCGCCAACTACCTTGCTAGCCAGTCCTAAGTAAGACTTTGCTAGTTTTGGGGAGAGGTGATTTGATGGCCAGATTCAGTGAAAAGACAACATGATGCGAGCCACGGCGAAGCCACATATCGAATGGTTTGAAGATGAACCATATTACGTGAAAGCAGGCAAGTGAGCAAGAAAAGAAGACCCTCGTGTGGACGAACATGTGAAGTACGATACGAATTGTTGGTCGGTTGAGTGGCTGGCGACGATAAGCGTTGCGTAAGAAAAGAAGTCAAGAGTCAAGTCGAGTCGTTTTGATACCTCCATCGTTTTTCATTTCCTTTTTAAACAAATATCCTGTCTGTCTCTGTCCTGTCGGGACATGGAAGCTACCTACCTATCTCTATCTTTCAATTTCTTTTTCTGTCGATGTTCGTCTACGGGTATCTACCTACCCCAGCATGGCTAGCTGAGTTGCTATGCCGCAGCTTCTTCTCTTTTTGTATGTTATGTACCTGGCAGTACGGTACAGTACTGTGTTAGTTTGTAGTGGTAATATCAATAAGTCGATGTAGCCGCTTGTCGAGCGGTTGTTGATGTTTGTTTGAGTTTGTTCGGAGGAGAAATGTGAGAGTGAAGGTCACCGAGTGTCACGAGAAAATAGGTAGGTGCTTGTGGATCGACCAAACGCCGTTTAATTCGGTTTTATCCGTTATTTGAATCTTGGATCAAGCTACCTATGCAGAGATCCAACGCAACGAAAAGGGTATGTGATCACTTCCTGAACGCCTATATTCGCTCACTAGAGGTACTTTGCTAACAAAGAATCTCCATCATGTCCGCCTAGTTTCCGTTCTTCCACATGCACCCTCCCCATTCACTTCAGTCTCTCCTCCCGCACAACACACCGCAGGTAGGTATCTTCCCCACCTACCTTCCATCTCGTGCTTTCCAATCTACAGGTAGGTAGCCCAGCTACTAATTTTCCTTTCATTCCTTCCAACTCACCACCTCCTCCCCCTTTCCCCCCCTCCTCCCCCTCCAACCTCAACCTGAACACCTCCCCCTCCAACCCCATACCCCATTATCCCCATCCCCATTTGCCCCCCACCAGGTGCACATGGTGCACTCATCTCCGCCAACACATCCCTTACAAGACAAATATCCTCCCACTCATCCTCCGTCCAATTATGATTCCTGTTCTCTCCATGTCTTCGTCCCCTTGTTTCGATTTCGATCCCCCAACCCCGCACGTTACCCAGAATGTCGGCCAGGACGGCATCGACTTGACTTTGCTTTTCGTGAAGAAGATGTTGATCGGATTCGTGCGAGTGGGTGAGTGCCCATTGCTCGAGACGGAGTTCGAACATTCTGCGTAGGAGTTTGGTGGTGCGGCGGATGTCGGTTGCGGTTGGGGATTGGGACTGTTGTTGGGAATGGGAATGGGGTGGGGATGGATGGGAGGAGGTGCGGTTCGCGAAGGAGTGTAGGTTGTGTAGAGGGTTGGAGGTGGAGGCGGAGGCGGAGTGGGAAGAGCGGGAGTGAGGGGGAGGGGGGGAACCGCGCTCGGAAACGGGGTAGGGGGGTTGGACGGATGGCATGAGTTTGTGGAGGACGTTGTGTTGTGGGGGATATTGTTGGCTTGTGGTTCTGTGTCTTGACGACGATAGGGGGTTACGGTGTTTGGCTTGGTCATGCCGCTGCTGCTGCTGAGCTTGGGGGTCCTGATGAACAGGTTGGCCGGGGTAGCGAGGGGAGTTTGGCTGTTGGGTTTGACTTCCTCCGGGTTGATAGCCCGGAGATAGGCAGTGCGGGTGCTGGGATTGGGACCGATGGTGGGGAGATGCGGGGCCGGGCGAAGTGGCTGCGGAGGACATGGTGGACATGGTTGTTACGCTGCTTCTCCCGAGACTGCTGTTGCTGCTTGTGCTGCCAAAGTTGCTCAGACTTAGGCGGGAACCGAGGCTGGCGCTGCGGCGGTCGCGATTGCTGCTGCCGTTTTGGGAATGGACAGCATCTTGAGGAGAAAGATTGCCGCTGCTTCGATCATGATGCTGGTAGTAGGCGTTCGGATCATGAGGATACTGAGGGTTCGGACCGGGTCTTGCCTGTGCAGGGAGGGACTTCCTGTGCTGGTGTCCATGTCCCTGATGCGATGGTGAATGATGGGTGTAGCCATTCCCGTAATCATTTGCTGGCAACTCAGAAATGGAACTCAATCCAGGTGTCTGGCCATAGTTATTGGAGGCAAAGGCGGAGGAGCCATTGGGGGTGTAGGACTGGTAGCCTCCGTTGGTGGAGTAAATGCCGTTGGCGTTGAGATCGTTGTCGTTGAAGTTGTCGGGGGTGATGGGCTGAGGTTGAAGGTTGGCGGAGGAGGACTTGGGCTTGAGTCCGAAGACTTTGCGGAGTTTTTCGGTGCCTCCCATGACTGTGTTCTAGAGATAGGTACTGTTGTTTGGATTATGGATTTGGTTGGCGAGGAAAATGTGAGTGTCGTGGTGGCTTCTTGAATGTTTTCTGATGGTGGAGAAGCGTAAATGATGTGGGATGTCTCCCACGGGTGTATTTGGCACAATCCTTTGTGCCTCTGGGAGCTTGGGATAGCAAACTGAACTCAGAGCGAGGCGTAGGGGTAACTGTTGAGATTGGTTCTAGTTCGGATGATCAGTTCAAGATTTGCAGAAGGAAGAGAGTTCAGAACGCATATCAGAAATCCAGCTTACACACCAGGGTCAGGTCCAGAAGTCCACAGGATTCCTATATCCCAAAGCTAAAGAGATGGAGGATGAGAAAAAACCAAGTTTTCTGAGATTAACACACATCAAAAGGTTGGAGGCTTGTCATAATCAACGCGTCCAACATGAACTTGACCGTCACTCTTCATGGCGGCAGAACACAACAATAAAGCATCACAGCCAGCGCTTCCCACTTCCCTTCTCGTTAACCATAAAGCAGCCACCAACATAGCCCCAGGCACTCACATTCCATTTTTGGCTCCAGTCCACCCGACTTGGCTTTTCGCCCACGGCCTACCTATGTACTGACTTTGGCACAGCACTCCTGGCCCTGGACGCTTTGGCAGAACACCACCACCATCAGGATCATGACCACCACCTCATCCTGTAAGCTGTCGGCTTTACCCCGTATCCGTCCTGGCTCGGCGCACATCCGGGTGAGTTGGCAATGCACATACATTTCATGAAGAAAGCCTCGCCTGGTTCGCATTGCATTGGACGAGTGTCCAGTCAAGTTCCGGCATGGATCGGATATGTGCTATGGATAAAGTAGTGGTATGCAGCTTCTGGTCAAAGTCTCTTGATGTATTGGCTTTTATAGACGCACTGTGCTAGCTCGGCTGTGGTCTGGGAGCGAACGAGATGTGATGAGTGTGGCTTGCATTCATTAGCTCGTAGAGTCTCATTGGGTTTTCTTCGTAGACTGATATAGAACAGTACCTACATGTAGTTTATTGGAACCGCAGTTGATTCGAATGAGGGGAAGGGGAATGTGATTGTAGAAGGGCTGAGGTCTTGGCTACCTCTAGGTATCAACATGGCGTCTCGCAGAGCATCCCGAAAAGGGAATGGGTGTGCAAGTGGTGTTATTGGCAGCCAGTCTTGTGGTTGTGATGTTGGTGGTGCCTATAAATGGGTGTATCAATGGCAGGATAAAGAGCAGGGTTGAAATGCGAACAGGAAGCTTCCTGACAAACGGGTACCATTCTTGACATAGTGCAAATCTCCGAATAATGCTTGTTGAAGCAGTGGTATCATTCCAGAATCCAGATTGAGATGCTCAGATAAACGTAGAAGGTATCCCTTGCCGGATATCACCACCAGGTTTTCCATCGTAAACTCCAGCTCCGTCTGACTTCCGTTCTCATCATCAGCATTGTGCTTCATCACGCGGAGATATCAGATTCCCCTAACGGCACCTCCGCGCTCGCCAAAACCTTCCCGCCACTCGTGATCTTAACCTCACACTTCTCCGTGACGTGAATCTCCACCTTGACCCAGAACTTATAAAACTTTCCAGCCTCCTTATTTGTAAACTCACTTCTATTCGTGTCTGGGATTTTGGTCAAGTTGCACTTGAGCGTGACCACTGTGTCTCGGCCTATCTCACTGTGTTAGTTATGGTTCTAGAAGAACGTAGATAACAGAGCGAAGCAGAAATAACGGATGAAAAGAAATGTAAGAACAAACCTTTGTTTATAGCAGCAAATCTCGTCGGTGGCTCATCAGCACTCGACGCAACAAATACCACCTCTCTAAAGACCTCCGGCGGCGGCGGTGGAGGCATGATGTTACCACCGCCCCGTTTGTCAAATCGCTGCGACACCGACCCCGGATTCTGTGCTGGAGCTCTCCCAGTCCCATTTTGAGCAGGAAAGTGAGCAGCCCGCATACTCCAATGGCAATCATACGTCGATACCATGGGCTTCCCAGGGAACAGGGCGTCCCCTTTGTTGATGAACCACCGAATCTGATCCATCGCCCACTTGACTCCTTCCACATCCACATCGACTTCTGACGGCCGATGGGAATTGTAAGGGGCGTACTGTGTGCGGACTTTGATGCCGTAGTGCCGCGGACAGGGACGGATAATTGGGGGCAGCGAGGTGTGAACCCCAAGGGATTTGATGATAGCGCCTCGCGTGACGGCGGACCAGCAGTCATCGCCGCGGTCGACCTGAATACTGCTGGTCATACCCCAGGCTTTGACGCGCTCGTAGAGGTAGGGGGAGCGGCCGAAGCCCCCGGAAAGAAAAATCTTGCGGATTTTGAGCTTTTGGATGACTTGAATGTGAGTGGCTGCTTGACTGATGAGAACGAGAGTCTTGTCGACGGAGTGTTTGAACATGGTTTTCAGGTCGTCACTGATGTTGTCAGTATGAACTCCCTCAGGCTGTTGAGAACTGGTCGCACTTACACAGTGATCTTGATCGCACCATTCATGATTCCCCGCTCTTCATCATCTGTTGTACCGATTCCTCGGGGCAACTGAATGGGAAACCCGAGCTTCTGATCCTTGCCATCGAACTGATGCTTGATTCCCTCAAATCTCCCATGTAGCATGCGCAGCTTTGGCTTGATGATGGAGTGTCCTCCCGTCGCTTGGTCTTGTGCATCAGTTTCAATCAGCTTCTCCCAGTCTTCCGGGCCCAGCTTTTGTTCGATGAATTGCTCAAAAGCTCGATCAATACATGTAGCTCCGCAGTTGTCGCCTATCGGGTAGCCGATTTGTTCAAGCTTGAACTGCTTCTGGTCGAGATCGAGGCTTACAACTTTATAGGAGGCCAAGTCCTGGTTTTGTAAGATTGCGAAGATGTGAAAGGATGAGAAGGAGGACGTACAACAGTGCCACCACCGGCATCGACGACGATGAAGCAGTCATTCTTGCGAAAGTTTACACGATCCTCGCGCAGTGCTTCTCGTAGGGTATAGTGGGCGCAGGCTTCGGGTTCGGAAACGAAGGAAAAGTTGCGGATTTTGGGGAAGAGATCGGCCTTGAAGGCGGCGCGGACGGCGCGATATGTTGAGTTTAGGGCTTTGTCGGACCATTTCTGTTGGCGTCAGTCTTGAGGCTTGCAAAGGTGATTATTTCTTGCTTGACTTACAGCAGGATGTGTAATGACCATGTCGATAGGGATATTGTCAGCAACCCTTCTTCCAACTTGGGTGCAAATCTCCTCCAGAGTCTGCTCGGCAATATTGTCCAGATAATCCTTGACAATATCCTCCGGCTCCTTGGCCAGGTGCCGTGGAATATCATTTCTGATGACAGCATCTTCGCTCAAGTCAAGCAACCGCATACCCCAGAGCGTCTCAGCCAATGTTCTTAACTCAGCACTTCGACTCCGTGTCTCTTCCAGCTCCAGCTTGGTCCATTTGAGTACTCTGGAGTTGTCATCGATGTCGTACCCCCATTGCCGGCACCCCTTGGGCGAAGGGGAGTACGAAATCTCCGAAGGGACTTTCTCCGATTCATGTGTTGGCCATCCTTGGAGCACCCGTATGTCATCGGCAAGAGCATCAAGGTTCTGGTCCTTTTGCCTCGAAGCGACAGAGAGGTAGGCAATCCCGCTAAAGGTTGTTCCGTAGTCGAGGGCAACGACCATGCGCGTCTCTGGTGTGGAAATGTTTGCCGAGGAGAAATTGGGAAAGCGGGGGGGACTATCGGTTCTTGATAGCGTTGCGGCCTCGTTCAGGAGGGCGTCTTGGGGATCATCGTAGGCATCCCATTCATCAACGTCGTCCTCGCTTCTTCTTGTTGATATGGGCGAGACCTCTCTCTTTGGAGTACCTGGAAAAGCTGGGGAGACGGAGATAGAAATGGGCGGGGGAGGGGGAGGGCGAGTTGGGAGAGAGGCCATGTCGACTTGTGATTCCTTTGGCACCGGTATGCGCGGTAGTAGGTAGGTACACTCTGGTTTCCTTGGGGTCCATGTAATTTGACCAAGTGTGCAACTCGTCGAAGAGAGTGCAGCACAGTTATGACCTCTTCAAGCGATCAATTCCTTGACAGTGAACCCAAGAAAACTTCCCAGCCCAATCTTACCCCGATATCACCATCTCAATGGCAGCCTTTCCTACCGTGGACCAGCTTCAGCCACCCATCGTGGCTGCGCGTACCAAAACCATCCAGTCGCCTCTCCCAGTCGCGACGCCGCCGCACCCTTCTCGTCCTCGTCGCCCCCAGCAACCGTGACCCGTCCAGTCCAGATACCATCGTTCGAGCCCCCACCATACGTGCCGAATAGACTGCTGTGAAAGCACCGACCTACAAGGCTGAGGTGTCATTTCCATGTGGTTGCACAAGCGCTGCGTCAAATTGGGATCGCAGGTTGGCGAGGGCTGGTTGAGAATGCCCAGGTGGCGTCGACTAGTGATTTTTTGCAGGATCCCAAACCGCCAAAGATTACAGGTCAGTCCATGTTGTGGGTACCAGAAAGTACCGCGAGGTCTTCAGCTCTTGCTTGGCACTGTGCTTCTCCGAATGGATTGACTGGGCGGTCGGGGACGATGAGGTGCACATGTGGTGAGTGTGTTTGGTGGTGGTTGTGGTGACATGGCAAGCTTTCAGCTGCGGGGTCCGAATATTTGGAGAAAGAGTGATTGACTGAGGACAAGACAACACAGGACAGAATGAGCCACCTACACTCCGAAAGAGACGCTGGAGCTGGATGGCACTGCGGAGATGGCAATTGAAGTGCTCAATCACATTGCCAGAAAGGCTGTGTGCTGTGGTATTACGTCTCCAACTGTTTACACGGCGAAGGAAGGGCGGAACCAAAAAGAAACCTCCGCACTCGTAAGATGTAAACGTTCCAGAAAGTTAAAACCCCAACACTGTCAAGCTTCACATATTCCGGCAGTCCCACACACTCCCTTAGACACTCTATAGGTACCTTATGAATCATGAGTTTCACTCTACCTCGATTCAAGCTGGGAAAGAGCGCCAAAAAGAAGACAGACCGTGACGGCAACGGATCTGCATCTCATGACGGGAAACATCATTCTATCGACGTGCTCCTGCACCACGACCTTAAGCAACTGAGCAAACTCAGGGCCGAGCAACTAGAAGGGTATTCCAAAGAAGACCTTGAATCCCTCCCACTGGACCGACGTCAAGTCCTCCCTGCCGAAGTCCTCTCCACACTAAACCCCCGAGCTCTAAATCAACTACCAGGCAAAACCATCGCCAAACTGTCTACTGCTGCACAGATCACACTTTCTCCATGGACTCTGGCTAGAATACCCATAAGTAGCCTGGCTACGATCGATTTAGAGGTCCTCTTTTGCGCCTTGCCCGTCCTTGGTTCGGATGATCTTCGTGTACTGAAGAAGGCCATCCACCGAATCGGCCACGATAAGCTGAGGCAACTTCCACCTGATGTGATCAGAAGACTGCCGTTTGAGCTGCCGTCTGAGCCACTGCAACTTCCACTTCAATGGCGGGAGTCTTCCATGATCTCGCCCGAGAAGTCATTACCGCCTGATCCGCCCCAGACCTCGACACATAGCCTTGGAGTGCCATCTGAATACCTCTATTCGGATGCCCGCCATGATCAACCAAGCTATGAGCAGCCAAGTGTGGTGCCCTCCAATGCTCACTACAACCCTGCCAATGTCGACACATCGATCTTCACAAGTCCGCCGTCTCCAGCTCATACAGTTCCCGGGCGAAGCAGCCCAAATACTGTCAGGTCATCTGCCACTGTACAAGCAACGGCATACCCTCCAAGAGCCTCGGATCACAGGCTATCGTATGCACCGAGAAGGAACAGTAGTGTTTCCAGAGGGTCACATATTCGGGCACGCTCATCCAGCCGCGGTCCTAGACCGGATCGAAATCAGGAGTACCAGGCCTATACACCAGGTTCGGTGAAATTCGCCGAGCTTAGCCCCATCGAGTTCGCAGACCTCTCTAGAGATGTCTCTGAGCTGGGACCCTCAACACCACCGCCAAGATCGAGCTCTCGCCTCGATAGTCTTTCCGTTTCAGAGCATATCAAGCGAGCAGAGAGTTGGAATGACAAACCTCAAGAGTTCCCGCGAACAGAGACTCCAAAGGAATCTCGAGAGATCATTCCCAAAGAAGATTCCAGATCCATGTCTCCAACCTCGACCTCAGCCTCATCAAGCCCAGACGTAGCCTCTTTTGCCAAACGCAAGCTTCGGGCTGCTCAGGGAAACATATCATCGAGTGCAAATGATGACGCCGACCCAAATTACAAACACCAAGTAATCCAGGATCATACAATCAGCGAGCTCAAAGCGGAAAACAAAAGGCTTCATGACCAGCTTATCGATGCCAAAGCCGACCACAAAGCGCTCCTGAATCGTCTGACCAAGTACCTTGACGACAAATGCCATAGTAAAAGGCACACAGGCGACCCCATCGGCGTGGTAATTGCTTACTGCGAGGAGCTCTGCAAAGAGCGTAGAAAGATTGCCAAAGAAAACAAGGACTGGGAAGATACTTATCTGCGTGAAAAGATGCATCGCCAGGAGGTGGAGGATCTAGTCGACGAGAAGTCTGGGCAGTTGCGGGCTGCTGAAGATGACCTCCTTGGTCTGCAAAGCAAAGTTAAGGAGTACAGCCGGAGAGCCAGCGAGCTTGAAGCCCGAGAAAGCTCCCTCCGCAACGACCTCAGCCGTCTCGAGCGCGAAAATAAGGAGCTCCATAAGCGCTGCGAGAACCAAAAGGAACTTTCCGATGCTGCCATCAAGAGGATCCAGCGGGAGAGCGACCAGACCGCAGCGGATCATGTTTCCCAACTGCGCGCCCAAAAAGAAGGATACGCCAAGACGATGCAAGACCAACGGATGTACTATGAGGGCCAAGTCAAGTCCCTTCACCACCAACTCGCCGACCAGACCCAATCCCACGAGACGCAGCTAGCCCAGGCGACCAAAGACTTGCAAGACGCCATCACCAACCTCCGCTCGCAGCACACCGAGGAACTCAACCGCATGGAAAGCGCCTTTAGCGAGCAAGTCGCTGGCCTCCAGACCGCCCATAGCCAGCAGATTGCTGCGCAGCAGAAAAAGCACGAGCAGGATATCCAGCGCTTGAACAAGAAACACGCGCGCAACGTCGTTGATCTTCGAGAAAAGGTGCAGAGCTTGGAGAACGACTTAGTCGGAAACAACGATGATTTCCGTCCTGCCACTGACGACAGTCTGAAGATCCAATATCGCCAGTTGAAGCTGTGTATCGATATGGTGACTGAGCCCATCAACTTGGGCATCACCGGGGTACCGCGGAACCTGGGGAAGCTGGATCCGACGAGGTTCTTGGAGAGGGAGGGCAAGAATCAGTTGCGTTTCTTGCTGAGGAGCGTGGTCTGGCAGAAAATTGTCGAGGGTTTCTTTTCCGAGCCGTTTGGGTTTGGGGCGTTGGGGAACGGAGAAGGAAGGGAGGTGTTGAGGGGGGTGGTGGAGGGGTGGAGGGGGTTGTGTGGTTATGATGACAGGTCTTTGTCGAATGGAAAGATGGGTAAGTCCAACACATTTCCGTCCTTGGTCATTTTCTTCGTGAAATGGTAATACTGAAACCAGCCGACACAGCATCCCGATCGACAACAACAGATACTGACCTCCTCACCCCTTTCTTCCATTCCCGCGAAGCCAACAAATGGCGCTCCGCCACCTTCCAGTCCATTCTTATGACCGTGGCCCCTCCTTCCTCCATGTCCGGCAGCACCCGAAAAGGCCAACAAGCAGGAGCACCCAGCCCTAGGGGCACCCCTGGACCTCCAGAGCATCCCACTGCCACACCTTACTATACCAACATCAACCAAGTCCAATCGCAAATCGTTGCCCTTCTCTCTTCCATTTGCTCCGAACCCTTGTCATCCGAGGTCCAATCCAAGGTATCCGAGCTGGCCCGCCAAGCCGGAGAATTGGCCCTCCAATTCGGAGCCCAACGGGCGCAGCTGGGGTTGGAGGTGCCCAAGAGGGGAGAGCAAGTGAAGATTGGCACAGAGTCGGGGTGGGTGGATTGCGAAGACGGGGATTCTTTCGGCGGGAGAAGGGGGGTGGAGGTGGAGGTTGACTTGTGTGTGAGCCCGAAGGTGTATAGAGTGGGGGATATGGACGGGAGGAACATTGGAGATAAGAAGACGGCAAAGGTGAAGGCAATTGTTGCTGGTGAGGTTTATCCTAGGCGATCGTAGGGCTGGTGACGAGATGGGTGGGGTGAGCATAGAAAGGGGAAAGCAGAAGAGGAAATCCTCATAAATTCAACTTCGGTCGCGTTGATGTTGACCAGAAGGAAAAAAAACACAACGCAGAGTATAAAGCATAATGTTCTCATCCCAATCATCGTAACATCGTTGTGCCCCCCAAATCCCCCAAACACCAAAACACCAACCCTAACATCACAACCAAACCAAATACTCACCCCCACCTACCTACATCAACCCCCCACTCAACAACACACTCTGCCCCGTCATGTACCCCGTCTTCACCAGCATCTCCACCACATTCCCCACCTCGTCCGTCGTCCCGAGCCTTCCAACAGGAATATTCTTGACATCTCCCGGCGTTCCCTCCACGAACTTGGCATCCGGAATCATGCCCGTCTCCCCAATCATGGCCGGCGCAACATCATTGACCGTGATGCCCTGGCCGGCGTGCTTCCTAGCCAGGTTCTTCATCAAGCCTTGCAACCCCGCCTTGGAAGCAGCGTAATGACATCCGTTGATCCCACCGCCTTGGGCAGCAATGGAGGAGACGAAGATGATGCGGCCCCAGTTGCGCTGGATCATGTGCGGGAGGGAGAGCTTGCAGAGGAGGAAGGACGAGCGGAGGTTGATGTTGAGCATCTTGTCGAACTCGTCGAGGCTGATGTCCAAAATGCTGGGGATGCGTTTGCCATAACCGGCGTTGCTGATGAGGATGTCGGGGCCGGACTGGCCGTGCAGGTTCTGGAGCTGGGTAAAGAGGAGTTGGATGTCGGCTGGCGAGGACAAGTCGCATTTGTGGGTAGAATAGGGCAGCGGATTGGGGTTGGCGGTGGTACGATTGAGGGAAAGGGCTGGGTCGTGGGCGGTTTGGCCGTTGGTGAAGGCTTCGTAGAGTTCTTGCTCCAAGGCCTGCAGCTTCTCGGGGGAAGAAGAATAGGTGAGGGCGAGGTGGGCGCCGAGAGACCACAGGCGGCGGGCTACGGCAGCGCCAATGCTAAACGAAAGGGGTGAGTCAACTGTGAGTGCTGTGAAGTAGGCAACAACAACAACACCACAACAGGCGAGACATTGACACTTGGCTGGAGTGGTGATGGCTTCCCATTTCGCCTGATGCCGAGAAAGATGGTTAGAGGAGCAAGGTGAGATTTACCCTCCGGAGGCGCCCGTGATCAGGACGAGCTTGCCCTTGACTTCGTTGTCAACTTGGGCCATGGCGTGACTGCAGTGATGACCTCTGAGGACTTCGTTGGCAATCACGATGAGGGGGGAATGAGCGTGGGACAGTCGAGGCAAGAGCGACAGAACTTCTGAAGAGAGGACAAAGATGAGAAGTAGAGGAGGAAGTAGTCGTCGACTTGACAACGGGCCCCGCCTTCCTTTTATACACTTTCCGCTTGGAACATGTCCATGGCTGAGTGGCTGCTGCCTGGACTTGCGTCACTGGTTAAACCACGTGCTCGCCATCAATCATGCTCACATTGAGCTACTTAAGTTGGATGTAACAATGAGAGTGATCGCAGGTCATGTTGTTGGTGTGAGAAGAGGAAGAGGAGAGGAAGAGGTCGACTGCGGAGAAGCAGCCACCAATCAGCGAGGATAAGAATTGTCCAATCACATCCCAGGCCGGGATCAAATGCGGACAAGAGCCGGTAGGTATAGTCCCCGCTTCCGACCCCACCCCGCCCGACTCCAACGGCCGTTCCGTGGGGGCCATATATACATTAGATTTTGGCAGGTGTGAGCGAAACTGTTTCCACTGGATACCGGATCGGTGATCAACAGACGGCATTGGCAGGCTCGGAGCGGACCTCTTGACAAGACAGATTCCTCTTATTCTTCTTGGCGGGTTCTCATCTGCGCAACTTGTTTCACAAATCAGCTCAGAGTTCCACAAACACCAACGAATATTGCAATTCTTCATTGCCCTTGCGGTTTTTTGGGTCTTCCAAGGCTTCAATTGGCCAAAGAGGTTCTCACCAAACGGGAAACCACACTTTGGTTTGTCTACCATCATATCAGTCAGATCAGTCATCCAACCACTGACACATTCCTGACATTCACATTTCCAGTCAGGACTTGGCACCAGTCATTCACTCTGTAATAAAACTGTTAGAGAAATTGCCGTGAGCGCTGTGTCTGCCTGTTCTCTTACATAAATCGAGTCTTCTCGGCAGCCCAAGGTTCCAACTTTCTTGACCAACATCAAAACCCAAGAGGTTTTATCAATACCTCTCTCCCGTCTAACTCGGAGAAAGCCATCCATACACCATCTACCAACCACAAAAATGGGCACCCCCTTCATCGCCACCCTCGAGCCTCCTGGTCTCGCCCTTTCCCCCTGGAACGCCTCTCTCCCCCCTTCCCAGCAATCCCCCTCCACAACCAGCACCATCCCCAAGACCTTTCTCGACGCCATGACCATCCGCGAATCCGTCTTTATCAACGAGCAACAAATCCCCGCCGAAAACGAATTCGACGCCAACGATGCTCGCTCCGTCCACTTCGTCATCTACGCCTCCATCAACCAAGTTGTCCAGCAAGAGGAGCGGGATGCGAACAGTGGGAGAGTCATGAGACCAAGAAAGTCAGAGACGCGGTCGGTTCCCATTGGTACCGTCAGGATAGTCCCTTTTCCTCACGCCCCGCATCCTGTCAAGGGAGGGAAGTATTTAGCGGATGAGTTGGTGAACCTGGAGGAGCTGGACTCGGAGACCAAGAAGGCGTTGGAGGTGGTGCAGAGGGGCGGGAAAGATCGCAAGACGACTTTGCACGATGGAGAGGAAGTCTACATGAAACTGGGGCGACTGGCTGTCTTGAAAGAGTTTCGCGGCCGTGGCATCGCAGGCCAGCTGATCAGGCGCGCCTTGGACTGGATGAGAGAGCACCCCAGGTATTTCAGCCCGTCGGTCAAGGAGAGGGGGTTCGAAGCCCTGGGAATCGATCCGGAAAGGGACGCGAGGATGATGCCTAAGTGGCGAGGTCTGTTTTGCGTTCACGCCCAGGTCAGTGCCGTCGGTGCTTGGCAGAGGGCTGGCTTTGTGGTGGATGAAGAGATGGGGAGGTGGTGGGAGGAGGGGATTGAGCATGTTGGCATGTTTTGTCGGGTGGATGCGAGGGCGTAGGGGTATCTGCTGGAGTCGGGGCTGAGGACGGATGGACATTGGGGAATATTGAGCAAAGGTGTTGGTGGTCGGTAGTGGTATTTGTGACAGTGTTTCCTTCTTATGAGCGGGTGTGTGTGACATTGATACCATAAAAAGGGTGATGGGAAGATGGGTCAAAAAGGGCTAGAGGAAGTCGAGAGTCGTTAATCCACTTGATGGCAGAAGTACAGCCCTCTTGAAACAAAGACATGAGGAACTATGAGCAGCTAGACTTCTGTAGCGGTGACGTTTGAAAGGAGCCTGAAGCGGCAGATGACTTACCTCATGTTGTTGGAGCCAGGGAGATTCAGCGAGAATGCTTCCTTGCTCATACAAAAAGAGGGTAGAGACGTCAAGTCTGAAAGCAAAAGGGGGTTGGAACTGGTGTTCGGTCGTTCACTCACGGTCAAACGGACGTCATGCATGGAAAGAAAAGGGGAATCATAATTTCACCGAATCACCGGCGCCTCGTGGTATATGCACTTAAAATCTTGTCCGCAAATCCACGTTTTCCTCTCATTCAATGTCTGAGAGCCCTTATTGAGTGCCTGCCTGTTTTGACCTAAGTGCCGTAGAAGAACCGCATCCTCCCAGACCCAGTTCCCTTTTAACGCGCAACAAATGCAGCCGTAGTGGCAGCAGAGCAAAACATGCCGAATAGAATCCGTCCAACAACTCCAAGCACCCAACAAGTTTCCCCCATACACCTGCAGCCAGCCAGAACCGCTTTAACGGTTGGACTTGGCAACACGCTCGAGCTCATCCTTCTTCTTGATGGCGTACGAGTTGGAGGAGCCCTTGGCGGCGTTGATCAGCTCCTCAGCAAGGCACTCGGCAATGGACTTGACGTTGCGGAAAGAAGCCTCGCGAGCACCGGTGGTGAGGAGGGCGATGGCCTGGTTGACACGGCGAAGGGGAGAGACATCGACGGCCTGGCGACGGACGGTACCGGCGGAACCGATACGGGTGGAGTCTTCGCGGGGACCGCAGTTGACGATGGCATCGACGGCGATCTGGATGGGGTTCTGGTCGGTCATGAGGTGGATCTAGATATCGTGTGTAAGTGACTGTGTCTGGCTAATCGCGTAGCGCAGGTTGTTGCGGGTTTCGGGAGTCTTACGATCTCAAAGGCGTGAGCGACAATGCGGACAGCCATGAGCTTCTTGCCGTTGTTGCGACCGTGCATCATGAGGGAGTTGGTGAGACGCTCAATGATGGGGCAGTTGGCCTTGCGGAAACGCTTGACGGCATAGCGACCAGCGGAGTGGGGGAGGTAGACGGGAGAACGGATCTGGATGTAGTCGCTGTGTGGATGTTCGTCGTTAGCCCTCCGTTCGCGTGTGTGACTTGAATCATCTTTGCGACCAAGATGCATGTTGCCCAAGTCCCCCAAGTCCTCCAAGCGAATTGGCGATCAATCGTAACTCCCAATTTTCAACATTTTCCTAGCTCTTTCTTTCCCATCTCCTTCTCGCGTACATGTTCGTCGGATCGCGTTTTCGTAGCAATCTGAGAGGGCCGTGTTCTTGGTGGTTTTGGTATGTATGCATCATCTAAACGGGTTGCGCTTACGTCAAAGAGATATCCCTGATCTCGACATCCTCGTAGCTCCAGCGGTCTGAAGTCGCAAAGTTAGCATGACGACGCCTATGTGCACTTTGCGAAGGACCGTAGAAAACATACTGAACAGCTTCACACTGCCAACCTCAGCGAGGACCTCCTTGGGGAGGACCTCGTACTGGGAAACGGCCGCGACGTCAACTTCTCCCTCAGACATTTTGATTGCTGTTCGGTGGCCGGACTGCAGGTAATTGGTGGTGAAGTTGGCCGTGAGTTCGGACAGGATAACGTCGAAAGGGTGGTCGTTCGGCGAGCGGAGAGTGACGGGTCGTCGTGGGAATTTTTTGGTGGCCCCGCCCCAGGTGGTCAAGCCCCAATCTGCCGCTACGAAGCCCCAAAAGACCCAGTTGTGCCCCCAGTTGTGCGGCCCGTGCACCGCCACGCTGGTTGCCGCAAAGGGGGAACAAAATGGTTAGGGCTCAGTTAACCTAAGCTTGGCCTGGCGCGCACCCGCAGTCACTGGCCTGAGTGTGTGCAGTGTGTGCGTGCGCAGAGACCAGCCCAGCGCCCGAGCCACACTTGCCTGCGCGCCGACCAGAAAAATCTCCCCGCCTTTTCGTTGCGCAGAGGAAAAGACCTTGAAGCCAGGACTGTCTCTCCCTCTCCCCTTCATCCACCAAACCACCAGAACTCATCATTCAAAATGGCTCCCGCCGCGTCTGGTGCTAAGAAGCAGAAGAAGAAGTGGTCCAAGGGCAAGGGTAAGGAGAATCTCTGTCCATTTTTCGGGGTCGTCATTTCCAGCAGATGATGATGGCTTCACGACTGTCGCCGTCATAGCCATCGTCGCTGCCGTGAAGGCGCTCCCCGACAACTTCAAAACTTTGGGCCAAATTCACTGACACATGCCCACAGTCAAGGACAAGGCCCAGCACGCCGTCATCCTTGACAAGTCCACTTCCGACAAGCTTTACAAGGACGTCCAGTCCTACCGCCTTGTCACCGTCGCCACCCTCGTCGACCGTCTCAAGATCAACGGCTCGCTTGCCCGCCGCTGCCTCAAGGACCTCGAGGAGAAGGGTCAGATCAAGCAGGTTGTTGGACACAGCAAGATGAAGATCTACAGTACGTCTCCCTCGCTCGGTCGAGCCGACTGGCGACACCGGATATCGATCAGCCACAATTCGAGAACAATCGGCTAACATGCAATTTCTACAGCCCGTGCCATTGGCGCTGACGAGTAAACGTCCAAACACCTGGCGATTCTCTTGACATGGCGGACCGGCAGACTTGAAAAGGTGGTTCGTCAGCGACAAGAAGGGGTTTGACTTTTTTGATCGGGCTACGTCTCTGGTGGGAATGGTCAATCTTTGCATGCACAATGCACACGGTGTAGCAATTTAGTGGGAGGGGAATCGGGAAGTGCTCCTCAGATTCTTTACACAATCACACTGGGATTTTGCATCGATCGGAAGATACGAACGGAACGACCAAGATCACGACAAACGAACGGGGCAGACTCGCCTCCTATCTGCCTGGGAAAGAGCTGTACCCGAGTTCGATGCTTACGTGCAAGCCGTGTGTGTGCGCGCCTAGTCCGATGGGAACAGCTTGTCACGAGCAGTTCTCTATGATACCCCAATCCATGGAGAAGGACAAGAAGGACTAGAGGCGGTAGAATAGGAAACTAATTCACTGCCTCAAAGCAACATCTGAGTTCACACGATATGCCAGTGACGTATGTGTATGATGTATGGACCTATCGATGTCTGGATGGGATTCTCCACGACACTAGTCCAGCCCTATGATGAACAGGTCCCATATCGTGTACACTATGACCGCGCCAGGCCGTTGAGGTATCCGGTCACGGTCATGGAAGTGGACAAAGCTAATTAAATTTCTTATCGAGTGCTTCTTATCTGCCAGACTCCGTCGAACCGACACACCTCGGTGAGAAGAAGCTGAGCCTCTGGACTACGCTTTACACAATGTCGGCTCCAGTCACCTACTACCTGATACAAGGGGACAAGGTTCCCATATTCCAACGCGGACGGTCTGAAGCTGCCGCTCACTCATTCTCATCTCTTCAAGTATAAATTGCCTCATCGCAAACACCATCTTTCCAGCCGGGACGCAGTGGCTTACATACGACATGCACATATCAGTGAGCCTATCCGGATTTGCTTCTCCGGACAAATATTTGTGATGCTTAGAACCCAACCGTTTCCTCCTTTCCAGTCTCACCTATGCTCGTCATACCTCTGTATCAACTTCCGATTTATGAAAACACTTGTAGGCATCTCAGTTCCAGCTCCTCAAGGCAAACTGGTGCCTGGCGCATTTAGTGGGACATTTTACTGTCTGCTGTGGTCTCATACCTGGCGGGCATCAAACTTCAACAGAGGAATCAATGAGAGATAATTCTGCCTTTGAAAGCAATGACTCCGAACCTTGACATTTCACGATAGCTTCGTTGCTTGGTATCCCGAATTTGCAAGAGCATCGCAGGCGCATTTGCTTGTTCTGTTGGTAGATGGCTGGGGCTCCCACGCCAGATTGTGTGAGGTGCGATCGAGAATACCGTGACATCTTCCGCACAATCTGACAAGCTGAGCACGTTGACAGAAGGCATGAAGTTGAATCAATGGGTCCACTCGTTACAGCCAAGGTTGGCGCCCTGACCATCGAATATTGATGGTAAAAGACGGCAGACGGGTTACGCGCAAGCATACACTACTTGTCGTCCCAAATCCCGTATTGTCCATGTGCCTGCAATCGTCTCATCTGCAAAGCATGTCTCGCTGCTGGCTTGCTCATAAACTCTGGATACCTGAGAGCACGTGAAAGTTCGATACGGTTGAGATTATCTCCAAGTCCGGTCCAGCGACCCGGACCTTGTCGTCTTGGCATGAACGGACCCCTCCGGCCGGCACCCTGACGGCTTGTGGGATGCATTGGGCATTCGGAGCAAATGGCACACAGATAGGCCATGTTGCCGCCACCGTCTTCCTCTTTACTTCACCTTTCGTGTTCAATGGTTTTCGTCTACACATCGGACTCACCGTCCACCGTCAAGACCGTGTCGCATGGGCCCTACACTAGAGAGCTGTTGGAGCTTTGCCCATTCTCGGACTCCCATTGACCGAAGCAGTTGCCCCGAATTGCCGCCCGTTGCCGTCGTCGTTTGCCACATGCCCTGCTAGCGACGCCATCCTGGGCGGTTCAGCGGTTACGGATGGTGAACAGGAGGGGGGGTGCACAATTGGTGCTTGAAATGTTAAGGCCGGGGGCTGCAGCATGACGTTGCAGTGCCACTGGACCTGGGACAACAGCCAAAAGGGAAGTTGAACTCGTGAGAGAGGTACAGATGATTTCCTTGTGATCCATCATAACGAGCCATGGGGAAGTTCTGGAATACTCCGACTCGGATATCCAGGAGACGAAACTTTCGGAAGTTAAGATGACCGAGTCGGTATGGACATTTTCCGTCCCTTTTGCATGACAGCCGAATTTCTGCCCGTGGGGCCGGGAGTTCTGGCTTCAAGTTCGTCGCAGACCGCGGCTCCAGCTGCCGCGTGCCAAGGAATCAATCTGACTCGGGTCTTGGCCAACGCAAAGCGTGAAGGGTGTTTGTTGGAGGGGGACGAGACTGGGGAGCGAGGGGGGAAGCGAGGGTGGGGGACGGGGAGGGGGGGTTCGAAGACAGAAGGCTCCCTTCGAAACGTGGGAATCCCAAGGCAGTGGATGACAGCGAGTCCTCAAGATACCTACCTACAACTCCATCCATCCTCGTGTTTGAAGACAACGAGGAAGTACATAGCCGAGGGCACTCTGAAAATTTCGCGAGCACTGCAATGAACGGTGAGGACGAAGAGGCGGTCGGGTGCCGACTATATGTAAATAACCAGTTTCACGATGGCGGCTGGCGTCTGTTAGCTGCTGGACTTCGTGGCACCTCAAAACACACAAGTTACCTTACTGCCCGCTGAGGGATAAACTGATACGTGTAATTATAGCCAGCGAACAGATTGGGCGCTGATGCGTCCAATTGGGTGACGATGCAATGGTTCTTGTTACAAGAGTGACTGGAGCCTTTCGGGCTTTACCGGCCGGCAGTGCAGGGAACCTGACTGTCAGCGCGGCACAAGCAGGAGTGGCATGAGCTGTCACGGGCTGCCAGCAGCTGCAAGGTCGCCCATTCTGGTAAAGATGCAAGAAGATGGCCCGTGCGCGGTGCTTGAGCAGCCCAGCCAGGGGCCCGGGAAGATTCGGTCGCGGTGGGCTAGTAGCGGCTGGCTGGCGCCCGCACAAAGTGAAAACTGGGCCTGCTTCCTTGTCTCCGCTGCGAAATTTTTCGTCGGCCCCCCCTTGGTAGCCCCAGACCCCCAGTCGGCTGCAGAATATATTCTCGCGACTTCTTCCTCTTCCCCTCATAGCAGAGCTTGGTCTTTTCTCTCCATCTCCACTCCTCTCTTTTTACAGCAAGGAAAGGAATATCACAATGGCGGAGCAACAGAAGGTCTTGGGCATGCCGGTATGTTTTGCCCCTCTCTCTCGCCCAGCACGTTGATGTCGTGGTCGTCGTTGTTGTTGTCGTCATTTCCCTGGTCGATCGGGCAGGCAGTCCAAGGGGATCGTCCATCGCGACCTCAGCCAGCCCTCGCAGGTCACGGCGCGATAGAAATCAACGACAATCATCGGGCCCTCCGATTTCATCAGTCGGTCGACAGTGATGGTCTTGATCTATCGCGGCTTGGTGACTGCGTTTGCATGTCGACTACCACCGGGAAATGCGGGGACACGACCTGACATCTTTGTTTGCTTATCGCGGCATAACAACATGCTAACATTTCCCCTCTTCTACAGCCCTTCGTGGCGGACTTCTTGATGGGTGGTGTCTCTGCCGCCGTCTCGAAGACTGCTGCCGCTCCCATTGAGCGTATCAAGCTCCTCGTCCAGAACCAGGTACGTTCCAATAATTACCTCATTCTCCCATTACCGACAGGAGAAGGAAATCAACTTGGCCCCTGTGATCCGCGCATGTGGTAGCAGTCGCGGCAAGTTTATCTGGCTGTCACGTGCCGTTCCTTCAACGTCGGCGATGGGAGAACGAGTATCTCTTCCACATGTTAGTCCAGGTATACTGACGACCCCCTAGGATGAGATGATCCGTGCCGGCCGTCTCGACCGCCGCTACAACGGTATCATCGACTGCTTCAAGCGCACCACCGCCGATGAGGGTGTCATGGCCTTGTGGCGTGGCAACACCGCCAACGTCATCCGTTACTTCCCTACCCAGGCCCTGAACTTCGCTTTCCGTGACAAGTTCAAGAAGATGTTCGGCTACAAGAAGGACGTCGATGGCTACTGGAAGTGGATGGCTGGTAACCTTGCCTCCGGTGGTGCCGCTGGTGCCACTTCCCTCCTCTTCGTCTACTCCCTCGACTACGCCCGTACCCGTCTCGCCAACGACGCCAAGTCCGCCAAGAAGGGTGGTGAGCGTCAGTTCAACGGTCTCGTCGATGTCTACCGCAAGACCATCGCTTCCGATGGTATTGCCGGTCTCTACCGTGGTTTCGGTCCCTCCGTCGCTGGTATCGTCGTCTACCGTGGTCTCTACTTCGGTCTCTACGACTCCATCAAGCCCGTCCTCCTCGTCGGTGACCTCAAGAACAACTTCCTTGCCTCTTTCGCTCTCGGCTGGTGCGTCACCACCGCCGCTGGTATCGCCTCTTACCCTCTTGACACTATCCGTCGTCGCATGATGATGACCTCCGGTGAGGCCGTCAAGTACAAGTCTTCCTTCGATGCCGCTTCCCAGATCGTTGCCAAGGAGGGTGTCAAGTCTCTCTTCAAGGGTGCTGGTGCCAACATTCTCCGTGGTGTCGCCGGTGCTGGTGTCCTCTCTATCTACGACCAGCTCCAGGTCCTCCTCTTCGGCAAGGCCTTCAAGGGTGGTTCCGGTTAAATTTCCCAACCTCAATGTGCTAAACTATGAAGTTGAGGAGATGACCCTTTTTGGGGATGGAGATCAAACCGTTTCTCTTCGGGATCTATCTCTGACGGAGGGTTTCGAAAAGGTTCCGACGATGGACTCAAGCGTTGAGCCATTGTCCGGTTGAGGAGGAGGTTTCGCGGGCTACATACCAATTCCCCGCTGTAATACAAGATCCTTAGCTGTTTCCCCATGTGTATTCTCCTTTGCCTTTGGCAACATCATCTTTCCGCCGTTTCCTTTGCATGCGTCTCTTAGATCCCCTTTGACGATAGGTAGTCTGGCGAATTCATGGGTTTCCTTTCCGAACTTTGTTTATCAAGTCAGTGAAGTGATTGTGCACCGCCTTCGAATGCGTGAAATGCTTGCGAACATGTGAACATGTGAACATCGATGTAGATTTCGGTCTGGGGTCTCCGACTCTGACGGACCAGTTACGTAAATACGATTTGGGGTATCTTTGTCGCGTCGCGTCTCCAGGCGATTGGACTTCCACTCACCAAACATCATCCGAATGCACTCTCTTGACTTGCGATAGCTTTGCGCTCCCAGCTTTAGTTTCATCACTGCGCTCTTAACCATTCACGTCGTATCCTATTACCAAATTTGGCGCCTTTAGAGCAGAATCGGAAATAAGCGACGAATCAGTTGCAATGCCTCCCAAATCTACCTCCACGGCCTCCAGCAGCCGGCGCGGTAAGCCTTCCATTTCCCGCTGTCGTATTTGGTTCAATTCCGCTCTCAACACCCATCCGAAAGCTAACATGACCTTCACAGCTCCCGCCGGCGCCAAACGTGGCTCTACCTCAGCAGACCCCTCCTCCTCGAAGCGACGCCGCGAAACAACTGACACAATCGAGCTCGCCTCCGTCCAAGACGACGAAGATCTGGACATGTTTCCTCACAGCGAAATCAACAATGACGTTACCATGCTCGGCTCAGATGAGGAAGAAGATGAAGAAGAGCAACCGGAGACGGACACGAATGGGCACCAGCGACGACGACAGATGCAGCGTAACAACCGAAACGACTCGGAAGACGCTGATGACTCAGACCGGTACCAGCCACAGCAAGAGTCAGATGCTGAAGAGCAACAAGAGGAAGCAGAGGAGGACTCGGACGAAGAGGAACGGCCCACGGTCCCCTCGGAGCTGTTGACGAGGTTATTGTACGAGTTCTTCGAGAGCGACAAGACCAAGATAACGAAGGATGCGAACGAGGCGGTGGCGCGCTATGTGGATATCTTTGTGAGGGAGGCGATCGCAAGGAGTGTGGTGGAGAGGGAGGGAGGGAATGGGACCACTTCGGGAGGGGGAGGCTTCTTGGAGGTGGAGGATTTGGAGAAGATTGCGCCTCAGTTGTTGTTGGATCTTTGATTGTGCTGTTGATGGGAGAGGTGAGGGAGGGTTTATGCCTCCTACTCCGTGGGCACATGGCAAGCTCAGCTCGACCGACAGTATGACTATGGTATCGGCATCTGACGGAGCTCTATCTGCGCACTTATCAAGCTACGTCTGACAGAAGGAGGTTGCGGAACGCTCATTGTGCCTGGCGTGGACCCTTTGCCGTACAACGCCGGTTCACGATACTAAACCATGGCACAAACAAGTCGAAGGTCAAGAAAGGGACTGGAGAGCAGCGAGTGTAAGCTGTACGGCTCAAGATCGAAGACATTTACGGCCACTCGCCATTTTAAATGGCAAGTGTGATAGAGAGGAGTCCAGAACAATGCTTGTTTGTTCACTAGACGTAGGACCTGGTGGAAGTAATTTGATAGTCGACGATGACAGATGGCTGATGTACAATAGGTATGCAGGGCAGGCTCGCAATTTCCAATGTTCGGAACAACTTCAATAGCCATGTGGGTTTCCATCGTCCTTTCCAACCCTATTAGCTTCCCGCCTTCACTGTGTACGAAGGAAGGGAGAAAGGTCTAGACCGTCTAATCACCGAGACCCCCAAGCTCAGACCCCGTCTTAGCTCTGATATCACGACTGATGCTAATTCGTCCCAACGCCCAACTTTGGCACTTTGACATTTCCGACATCGGCCCTCGGATCGATGAGATCCAGCAAGGGAAGATCTAGAAGGTTAACCGAGTCGTGGAGGTAGTGAAACCGGATCCGTGTATCAGATGCGTCGCAGATTTCATTGGCGATGGTCGGTTGCCGGCTGTGCTCTGACCCCTGGTCACAGACGGCCCCTGGCGCTTAGTAGCAGGGATCCAAACCTTAAATCGGCTTTGCTCTTTGTATTTGCTTGGATTCCAGATTTCGGTATCACGAAGACTGAGTAATTGAGGTGGGAATAATGGACTTTGGCTTCATGGAGTGATTCAGACGGGTGGGCAGGTGGCAAGGTGTCGCAGAGATATCAAGATCTTCACAAACTTCAACCGAACCCAATTCAGCAGTAGGATCTTCAGTTCGCAAAGCAGACAAGTGACAACTTTCGTTTCATTCTCTCCCCAGTGTTCAATATTCCACTTTCCTTCGTTACAGTCCAGTCATGGAGGCATTCAGGCGCATTCTTTACAAGACCCAATTCACCTATCACTCTATTCTCTATAGATGCCGGTACGAGCTTTACCATCGTACACGCTTCACAAGGTTGGGTAGAAATCCAACCTATCTCAAGTTCGCTACAGCCATCGTTTTCGTTTCGACTTCTGGGGCTATTCCGAGGTGCCTTGATTAAGAGGTACCTTGCTGAAACGAAGTTTTGAGGGGGATAAGCTAGCTTTTTCAAAGAGCAATACTCTTTTTGCTATAGTCAACAGCTGGTGTCTTTGGTGTAAGTGTATCCCCAGCTGATATGGCCCCGTTCCTGCCCCGGAAACTCCAAACACCGTGATGTTTCAATACCACACTTCGTCTTGGCTACTATGGAGCCTAGTACGGATCCTCTACCCCAGAATGTCAACTCCCTCTGTCGATGAAACCTAACATGTTGCTAACCATGGTAAGACATGGATATCTCTAAGCTCCATCGACATCAGAGCGATTCATAAAAAATTTTGGGCCTGGACAGTTGACTTATATCCTTACGATACCCTCCCCATCTCTTTCCCGGGCTTTTCTTTTCGTCATCGTCTTCCATATCCACCATCACAACCCACAACACGGGTCGTTTCTTTTCTTTTCTCTTCTCTCTTCCTTTCTTTCTCCGCCGTCGTTCGGTCTTTACCTTTCGAATCGGCCAGGCTGGTCCTACTCACTACCTCTTTCGGTCTTCGACAATAATACAGCGCCAGTCGCTTTCACATCTTACCACCATACTCCCTTTCATTTAACCTGACAACGACGACGACGACGACGACAAACCGCTAGACGGACGACGGTCGTTCAAGTTCAGTTCTCTTTTACCAGATCTTCAAATACAAACACACATACACTCAAGACAACAACAACCGCAAAAATGCATTACACCAACCTCCTCCTCGCCGGGCTCGCCACCCTCTCATCAACCATGACAGTCACCGCCCAAAAAACCCACGTCGTCTCTGTTGGCTACAACGGCACCCTCGTCTTCTCCCCCAACAAGATCTCGGCCGAGCCGGGTGAAGCCATCCAGTTCCAGTTCGTGGCCGGCAACCACACGGTCACGCAATCGACCTTTGACAACCCCTGCCAGCCTATTGCGATGCACAGCAACGTAACAGGGATAAACTCGGGCTTCATGCCTGTTGCCGCAGGCTTAGCAGCAGCATCAGCAAAAGACGGCAAGAGCATGAATGGTACCACCTCTGGACATGGAGGTAATGTGCCGGTGTACACGGTGATGGTGAAGAACAAGAACCCGATGTGGTTGTATTGTGCGCAGGGGAAGCATTGTCAGAATGGGATGGTGATGGTTGTTAATGAAAAGTGAGTATCCCTGTTTGACTTGTGCGTTTGTGGGTAGAGGTATGAATAAATGAATGAAGGACTAACAGAGAAATCAGCCCATCTTCCAACGCCACCAAGTCACTACAGAACTACAAAGCCCTCGCAGCCAAGGCCACTACCATCGTCCCCTCTGGCTCTGGCTCCGACTCCGGTTCTGGTTCTGGCTCCGGTTCTGGCTCTGGCTCCGGTTCTGGTTCTGGTTCCGGTTCCGGCAGTAACTCTGGCTCGGGCTCAGGCTCTGGTTCCGGCAGTGACTCTGGCTCGGGCTCTGGCTCGGGCACTGGCAGTGGTACTGGCTCTGGTTCTACCAATGGCAGCACTACTACCGGCCCAAGCACCGGAACCACCCCGTCCAACTCGACGAGTCCTAGTGGCTCTTCCACCGCTGTGCCAGTGACTGCTGGTGCGGGTATTCTCTCTGCTGCTGGAACTACGAGCATGTTTGCGCTTGTCGCTGGTGGTGCTGTTGCTTTCTTGTTCCTTTAGTTGACGAAAGTGGAATAAGGTGGGGAGGTTGAATTGACGATGAAATCTTCGAGTTGGATTGTACGATGTTTTAGGAAGGGTAACAGACTTTCTCGGTTTCGGCGCGCTGGCCCATGTTTCTTTGTCAGCGACGTTGTTATTTTTTCTTTCTTTTGGGTTTAGAGCCGGGCACTAGATTGCTGCGAGCGTGGCATTGTTGGTTGGGTAGAGGTAGATATTGCATGAAATCGAGTGTCATGATCCTCTGGTATTTTGTTCTGTTCGATGTTCAAACTGTTCAAACTGTACTTTGATCCATTGGTAGGTACCTGCTAGACCTGTCATTGTCAAGAGAAATAATCAATACTGCCGCAGAGTTCCTTGGGTAAGAAATTGATTTGTTCTGTTTTCCATACCATTACCATCATCCTCAGGAGTCATCTCCTAGTGCTTCTTCTTTTCCTCCTCCGGCGGTGACCTAGGCGTCCTGCCCCTCCCCGCCGCCTCACACAGCTTGGGCACTGGTTCCTTCTTCAACCAGTCCTTGTCTCTCTTGACATAGCCCACGAACCTGTACTTCTTACTCTTCCCAAAGAAGTTGGCCCAGTGCTTCAGGGCATCGTTGACCTTTTTCAGGGCCTCCTCCATTTCTTTCCTCTTCAACTGCTTGAGTTCTTCTGGGGTCCAGTACTTGTTGTCCACGGCAGGGTCGTCGAGAGGAAGGAACATTTCCTCGACACCGCGCATGTCGGGGGTGCGGTCCTCGGCGAAGCAGCCGGTGACGTAAGCGCGCGAAGCGTCAACGCCGGCAAAGACGTGGTAGGAACCGCCCGGACCGTAGGTGCGTCGGTTGGCGGAGACGTCGTAGATGGTGCCGTTGATTGCGAGATAAATGGGCTTGGATTCATCGGTGCCATCAAAGGCGGCGAGTTCGGCCGGGGTGAGGTAGATGGGGCCGCGCTACGTCACCGCCTTGTCAGCTGGTGCTGCCGGCTGGAGAAGGGAAGCATCGATCGAAGGACGTACCAATTGAGACTTCCACCATTCTAACTGGAGATAGTTGGGCGGGTGAGACATGCCCCAGAAGAAGGACTCGCCATTGGAGATGAGGTAGCTGAGACCGCAAGAGGCCAGGAAGAGGAAGGAAATGACACGGAGGATGTCGAGGAGCCAGGGGTTGGATTCGTCTTCGTCTTCGATTCGGCGTTTGGGAGCTTTCTTTTTCTTGCCGCCATTTCGGGATTCGGAGTGGGGAGGAAAGCCGGGGCGGATGATCTCTTCGACATCGGAGTCTTCGGTAGCTGAGGCCGTATCGTGACCGGGCTCGTTGGTGGCAGGTGTCCTGGATTCGGGCTTGCGCCGGCGGACGGTGTCGGTGTCGGCCATGTTGACGATATTATGGCTACCTAGTGATATGTGAACATGCAAAGAAGAAGACCGAGAGAAACAGCAATGGAATGGAACAGACGGTAATGCAATGAACAGATCGATGTTGCGAGGCCGAGAGAATGGATGGAAGGGTGGAAAGGAACGAAGCTTCCGTTTCCCTTTCCAAGCTCCCGTCCCCTCCGGGCTAAAGTCCCCTGTTCCCGATGGACATCATGTCATCTCGGTCGTCAATTGGGCAAAATGGGATGCACACAGGATGCAAAATGCAAGGCTGGCCAATGGCTTGAAGGCAGGCGGGGTTCCCACGTGTTTACTGCATCTGTCAAGTACTTACCTTATGTACTAAGCTTGAGCTCGTTACCCAGGCAACACGGCGCACCTGGAAGCCATTGCGCAGAGCTATGGACACTGTACAAGTAAACAGATTCGTTTTCTCCAATTTGCCCAAGGTAGCCAGGCTGAAGGAATACGTACATATGTTGTGTACAAGGAGGGGCGGGCACGGGATGGAATGAATCGATTATTTCATCGAACACATCTTGTTATTCCTTTGTCTGCATATCCCATCTGTTCACCGAAACCCTTTTTTGTTTACAACGCAATTACATCAGAGTGTGGTGCATCTCGAGTCATTTTGTCTTCCATTTCAGTTGTAAACACAGGTACTCGATGTGTGCCGATAGCACTGTGCCCTTGTGCTTCCTGCTGCACTTGTGCAGTGTTGACAGACAGACAAACCCACCCA